GAAGTCACCGATCGTTCTCGATCCGGTGATCGAGGAACTTGACCTCCAGACAACGGCCCGGAACCTTGCCGGCCGGATCCAGGGTGGACGTGCCGTCGAATACCACGGTGATGAACGTGACAGTCTCAGACACGTCCAGTCTGCGCGCGGCGATGACGGCCAATGCGGTGATCCGACGCCTTGACTAAGCCGGTCGCACCTCGCCCCGCGGTGAAGAGGACAACCCCGCAAATGAGAATTCGTCAGTGTCTCCAGCAGGTTGCCTCAGAGGCAGTACGACCGTAAATCGGGCTGATATTCGAATTGCTCGGCGCGCTGGGCGGTTTCAGCGCGTGGCAGGTGGCGATCGTGGGGATCATCTGGGGAATCGGTGACCAGACCTGTTCGGTCGGTGTCCGACGTTGAAAACGTGTCGTCGACTCCGGTACTTGCAGCCATCACATTCGACGGTAAACGGTCGGTGGCACCCGTCGACCCTCGTGGATCGGAGAGTGTTGCTGACCTGGGCGTTGCTACACCAACATCGCAGCGGCGTGTGGGAAACGAGGGGGCGTGAAGTCAGTCGCCGTAGTTCCGGTGACTGCGAGCGACGACGCGCGGGCAGTCGCCGTCGACCTCGCGTTGGTCAGCGGCTCGGGCACGGGATCGAATTCTGTTGGTCGACGGCGATTTACGGTCGGCCCCTCCACGTGGGCATGCTCGGCGCCGAATCGGCTCCTGGCCTCGCGGAGGTCCTGGTGGGGTCAGCAGACTTCCGGTCCAGACGCCTCCAGGTGAGGTCGGGTTGGATTTTGTCGCCGCAGGCAGAGCTGAGGGAAATGCCGCGGAGTTGTTGGTGAGTACGCGACTGAAACCCTTTCTCAAGGTCGAGTCGATGCGCCACAAGATGCTCCTTGCGGTTGGTGGTGCAGCAATACCCGTAGCGGACGGTGCAACGGTGGCCGCCGCTGCCGAGGTCACGGTTTTGGTGGCGCGGCTTGGAGCAGACTCACGCGTCGTGACCTCGCTGCGGCGGTCGACAGGCTGTCATCGGCGGGAGGAATTCTCGCCGGCGTTGTTCCTTGTACAACGGCGCTCGGGACTCGCGCGAGTTCGATGCGGATAGGAAACGACTTCAGGACGGTAGACGTTGATCGCCGTACGGCGGATAGAGTTCTTCGGCCGGCGGCGTCTCGGTAAGGCGCGGGATATGCGCGGCGAGTTGCGGCCATTTCCTGGCGGACAGGTCAGGGGATTCGGCAGGCGACGGGGCGGCGAGCGCGGTATCAGAATGTCGCCGTGGTGAGGGGCCCTGATAGGGGTGGAGATCCAGCCGGGCCCGACCTCGTCGGCCAGTGCCCGGGTTATTTCGGTATCCGGAACGAGCACGGGGCGTTCGAGTAAAGCGCGAGCAGCAGTGCGCCCGAGTTGTGCATGTTTTGATACGGGAGGACAACCAATTGCGCTGCTGTGATTTCCAGCGCCAAGGTGCTGTCCTCGACATAGTCGAGGGCAGCAGTGATTCGGCTGCTTTGCGCGCCGCAGATTCTACGGCGGCACGGAGTTCGTCGGTGCTCGGCTGCCGACGATACGCAGCCTTGCGCCGGTAGTGGTGACGTGGGCGAAGGACCTCGAGCAGCGACTCGGTTTCCTTTGTATGGTCGGATCAATCCGAACGAAATGACCCGGCCGGCAATAGGTTCAGATTTCAGGTATCCCGCAAACCAGTCGGCGTAGTCGCCGTGAGGAATGAGTACCCGTTCGGTTCCTGTTGGTACAGTGGACAATTCGTTGAGCACGATCCAGGTTCGGGTCTGTCGATCGCACCACCGCAAGAGCGCGGTCTCCGTGCGGCTACCGGTTTCGTGTGCACGAACATTGTGTGCCGTACGGACGATAGGTGTACCGGTGAGCCGCAGGCGCAGCATCAACAGGATGAATCGGACTTGGGCGGCCGCCCGCGCGAGGGCGCCGTCACGGCGGATCATTACTTCGGGCCAATGGATGTGCAAGATGTCGTAACTGCCGAAAAGAGCTGTTTGCCAACTGAAATACCGGACACTTGCGCCGCAAGTTCCGAATCGAGTCGGCCAGTTGTACGACGTATGGGTTGGTCGTCTTGAATGGCCCGCGAGTGGACAGCAAGACTCTCAACGCGTCTTCGCCGGACTAGCCGTCGTTGCCGATTCGAGGTGTCATGCGACCAGTATCCTAAACCTAGTGAATCCCTGGGTGCACTGGTGGTTCGCTGCAAACAAATTCGGGAGTGCTCGTGACCTCCAGGCATTTTCGGCCGGACGTCACGGTCACGCTGATCGTTCTCGTGTGGGCGATGTACACGATGCCACGGCTGGTGCAGTCGCTGATAGGGTGAAACGGCGGGCGACGGTGGGTGACGCGTTGCCGATGAACCCGTTGGCAGTCAAGCTGGAAGTGCTGCTACTGCTGCTCGTATTTGCACTGTGTGCGTACGTCATTCTCCGTGGCACAGCGGCGTTGCCTACCGATAGGCGCATGCCGTTGGTCCTAATGCTTGCCCCATGGGTGTACGTGGTGGTCAGAGATCTGTACATCGATCATGTCCCGACGCGCGGCGGAATGCTCTATCCGGTACTGGTGGTCGCGATCTGGATCCTGCGGCCACAATTGAGGAAGCTCGCCGTGCTCGGGTACCTCGTTGATCCTGACGGCAGTGATGTGCATTGCGTTGGGGTCTTCCTGCCGGAAAGTGGAATTTTCATTTCGAGTGCAGGTACCGCAGTGGCACCGACGAAGGAGATTTTGCCGCTCGGTATTTTGATCGGAATTTTCACCGACGGTAACAATCTCGGGCAGTACCTGGTTCTCGGTCTGCCGTCAGTGATGCTGATTCCACGTCGCGTGGTGCGTGCGGCGGGCGTCGCCGTAGTCCTGTTTGCGATCGTGTGGACGTCCTCGCGATCGTCGTTGGCCGCGGCTGCCCTCGCATGCGGCATGTGGGTGCTGATGACGGTCACACCGTCTGTGCTGCGCAGGACCAATGTCCTGGGGGCTGGTGGGAGCGACCGGGGCGGTGATGATTTGGTGGCCGCTGTCCACTCCGGCAGACGATGCGTTGACCAACCGCGGTGCAATCTGGCGTCACAGTCTCGATGCCTGGGGAACACGCCCTGGTTCGTTCCGGATCGAATTGGTATTCAGTTCTGCCGCAACACGTCGGGAGCCTCGGCGGCTTTGCGTTCCACGGGCACAACCAGTTCGTACACACACTCGCAACGGGCGGATTGATCTTCCTGTTCCTCGTGGCGGCGATGTTCGTGACGATCGCATGGGCGGCATCGCAATGGAGTGCGCGTGGCATTTTCCAACCGGCAACGCTGTTGGTGGCTCTATTCGCTTCATCCACATTGGAAGTTTCGTTCGGGTTCGTCGACCGAGGCATTTCTTCTTGCTGTGACCGTACTTCCGCTGATGTTCGCCGTGTTTGCCCCTCTCCCCGAGCATGGTTCGCGGCGTGGGCACACGAAGCCGCGGGTGGAGTCAACCGCCTAGTTGTGCACGCCGCCGGTCAGTGCCGGTGTGTCGGCGACTCAATTGCCAATCCCACGAGACGGCGGCGATCACCGCGAGCATCAGCCCGGTCGCGGCGCCGGTCAGCAGGATCGAGCCGCGGCGCGGCGTAGACGCGAATTCAGGTACGGGTGCCCGCGTGACGGTGAGCCCCAGCATGTCCGGCTGTTCTTATTTGAATCATCCGCCCGGTGAGATCGGCCAGCTGCTCGGCGACGGCGTCGGCGATCTGTGCCGAGCCGTCGGCCAGTGTTTGCCCGGACTGTGAATTGCATGGTGACGGTATCGGTCGGGATGGTGACTTCGATGTCGCGGGCCAGGGATTCGGCGGAGGTGTCGAGCCCTAGGCGCCCGATCACCGGTTCGAGGACGGCGGTGGACGTGGCGAGTGCGGCAAAGGAACGGGTGAGCGACAGCGCTTAAGGATAGCGATCACTTATCTGGCGCGGAGTGCCGACGACGCCGAGTTGCAGGGCTGCCTCAGATCTGGCGATGTAGGTGTGTGGCGTCAAGGCTATCGTGGAAAAGGCGACAGCCAGTGTCATCACCAATACCGTCATGAAAATGCGCCATCGGTTCTTGACGATAGTCAGGTAGTTCCACAGCGTCATAGTGCTCGCCGAATCTGTGGACACGAGCCTGCGGTCGTCTCGTCCGCCAGAGCCGAGCGGTGAATTTCGGTCGACAGGTTCCTTCGGAGGACGAGGAGGACGGCCAACGGCTCTTCTCGCGAAGTCGAGCATGGTGGTCAAATCGCTTCGGACAGTGGGAAAGAGCGTTGCGGAGAGGGTAGCTCCGACCAGGGCGGAGAATATGCCGGCTGCCAAGGACGCGGATGGTGCGACAAACAGGTGAGATCCGACAAATGCGAGCAGTCCGGCCGGTGCGCCGAACAGGAGGGATCGCGCGCAAGGAGTTCCGCAGCAACATCATGCTGTCGACACCGGCCACGCGGTGCACGTGCCACAGGGTGACCAGCCAGTCCACGAGAAAGCCGATCGACGATGCTGCCGCGACTTCGACGGCGCCCCACGGGAGACCGGCAAGCGTGATCACGATGACCGCAGGTCGGAGAAACAGATACAGGCGCAACTGCGCGCCGGTCAGTCCATGAGACAGATAGACCCAGTAACAGATTTGGGCGACCGAGCGGAATACGCCACCGATTGCAAGGAGCGCGAAGATCGGGGCAACGGCAGGCCACTGTTCACCGAAGGCGACGGTGATCAGCGGCTCTGCGACGCCGGCGCTGACCGCGAGAACCGAAGCGGTGAAGTACCCGCCGATCAATTGTGCTCTGGCCAGGTACCGCCCGTAGATCACCGGGTTGTCCTGAACTTTGGACAGGATGGGGAGGGCGACGTTGGTGAAGTGGGGCGTTGATCTGGTTGAGCGGAGTCATCAGCAGTTGGTATGCGCGGTTGTACAACCCGAGCGTAGTTGGCCCGTACATCGCGCCGATGGCAATGCTGTCGATGTTCTTGGTGGCATACCCGAGCAGTTGGGTGCCGAGTAGCCCGCCACCGAAACAAGAAGAACCGTTTGATCGATACGCCTCGGCGTGGAAGCCCCGGGCGCCACCGACAGATCACGGCACTGAGAAACAGCGTGGCAACAGCAACCATGATCAACTGCGCGACAATCGCCCAGTATCCGGCGCCCGAAGCGCAAGCACCACTGCTGTGCCGACTCCGATGGCATTGCCAGAACATCAGTGGTGGACAGTGCTGTGAAGCGCAGACTGCGCATGAGTTCAGCGCGGAACTGGGTGGCCGCGCCGCTGACGATGAATACGCCGGCAACGGCAAAGGACGATAGGTAGGAGCTCGGGCTTGTCGTAGATCCATACGATCAGTGGCGCCGCGGCGAGACGACCACGCAACAGACGAACCCGATGCCGGTATTGGCCCAGAACAGGTTGGTCCGTTCAGCGTCGCTCAACTGCTTAGCCTGCACGGCGGCGAGTGAGAGGCCGAAGTCGCGGATCAGATCTGCAGCGCCCGTAATGGCGACGACCATCGCGACGATACCGAAGTCTTCCGGCGTCAGCAGCCGGGCCAACAGGATCAACGACGCGGTCTGAACGATGAATTTCACCGCCTGGAACGCAAGCGTGACGCCGCCGCCCCTTGCGGCCTTGTCCGCGAGGTTCATTGGTACTCAGGCGCCGATCGGACGGCGGTACCGGTGGAGGTCCGGCCGAAGGCGCCCGCGACGATTCCCGCGCCCCGAGCGGCGATTCCGGATACCGTGTGCGCGATTACGGGGGCTGCGACCCAACACGCCGAGCGTCGCGCGAGCGGTTCCGCCCGCCACTCGGGTCGCCCCGGCCAGTAGCAGCGCTCCGCGTAACCGAACGGTCTGCGCACTGCCCGAAATGAGTGCCAGTTCCGTACGAGCCCAAGAGTTTCCGATTCGATAGCGTCGACGTATTACCCAGTCGAGGGTGGCCCGTTCTGCTGGAACTGACATCGGTCACCACTGCCTCGTCACACCACACCAGCGTGAAACCGGCTCCGGTGTATCGGCGCGTGAACAAGCTGTCGGATCCGCCGCTTGCGCTGAATCTTTCGTCGAACTGCAACGAAATCGAGCGGACCAGACGCAGATCGAGGAGCAGGTTGTTTGTCGCGGCCACACGCACTTCGGTGCCGGTGGGTAGGCGTCGGCGATCGAAGAAACCGCCGTCGGCGATCCAGGGGTCGAGTGGTGCCGCAAATGCCGACACGACCGGGCCGACAACTCCGCCGGCACCGGTGCGTATGCGGGTTTCGAGCAGTGCTGTCAGCCAGTCGGATGTGGGACGTTCGTCGTCGTCGATGAACACGAGGAGATCGACGTCGACTGATTCGGCGAGAGCGCGGTTGCGGGCGGCAGCGATACCGGGGAGTCGGTTCGTGTACATGGGTGACGCCGGTGCCGAACCGGTTTGCGGTCTCACGCGCACCACCAGCCGGATCGTTGTCGACGACAAGCACGGTTGGTGGTCGAATACCGTACCCGACGGATGCTTGATGGCAATGGTGCAGCAATTCGGGAAGCAACTCCATCAGGTCATCGGGGCGTCGGTATGTCAAAACGGCCACAACAGCCGATAGGTTGGACGCGTGATTTCCGGAAACAGAATCAATGGTCGAATTGTTACGTTCACTGCTGATCACCAGGAATATGATAGCGCTACATGTTTGCTGAAACGCGTCAATGGCGCAACGCTGGGGAGAATGGAAGTTCTTCAATGTTGTGGAGTGCTCGCCTAAACGGTCCCTTCGTGCAATGGGTCTTGCTTTTGCCGCACTGCTTGCGGCCGGTGGTTTGAACATAGGTTTGCCGGCGGAAGTCGAGGCTGCGGTGCCGACGACATTCGGATTACCTGCAGGAACACCGCTACGAGTGCACAACGGGGACCTGACGATTCGGACACCGGGCACGGTGATCGAAAATCTGGATATCCGTGGTTTTGTCCGGATCGAGGCCAGTAATGTGACGATCCGCCGGTCCATCATCCGCGGACGTAATCCGGGGCAAATCAATGAATCATTGATCGCGGCTTACGGAGACCATCGAAATTTCAGGATCGAGGACACGACACTGCGGCCGTCGACGCTGTCACCGTACGTCGACGGAATCAAGGGTCGAAACTTACGCCAGGCGACTCGACATCTCGGGCGTTGTCGACTCGGTGGTGATTTTCGGGGACAACGTCGATTTCGGTTACAGCTGGTTACACGACAATTTGCACTATTCGCCCTGGCCTAAGCAGTGGGACAACCAAACCCACGACGACAATGTGCAAATCGAGGGTGGCAGCAATATCTCCGTGCACAACAGTCGTTTGGAGGGTGCGTACAACGCCGCGGCGATGATCACGCAGAACTATGCGCGGGGTGTGAACATCCAGATCAACGACAACATTCTGTCCGGTGGTCAATGCACGATCAATGTCGATGAAAAGGGAAGGGCGCGATCGGTCTGACGATCAAGAACAACAGGTTCGGGACGTCGGGAATCCGAGATTGTGCGATCCTCGCGCCAAAACGTCCGTTGGTGACTGGCCGCGGAATGTGTGGCTTTCCACCGGCGCTCTCGTACGGGTTCGCAATCCCCGAAAAACGAAGTAGCCTGTGGATTGCTGACAGCGGGTTCTGTCGGTGAACTCAGCGCATAACGGGGGAAGATTCCGGGTGCGTTCCTTATTGCAACCAGGAGTACGAATGATCGACATCGCCGGTATGCGCGCCGACGGATATCAGGATCACCGGAAGAAGTGGCGCGGTTTTGGTCAACGCGTTCGTTTCGGTGGGGACAGTTCTAGCGGTGGTGGGATCGCTGGGCATCGGTACAGCAACTGCCGATACCGCGCCGACTGTCCCCACAATTCGCGGACGGTGTCCGCGGATGCATTACCCACCGTTCAGGTGGACGGGGTCGTTTGGGCGCAGATCGTCGTAGGCAACACGGTGTACGTGACGGGGAAATTCGCCAACGCCAGGCCTGCTGGTGCGGCTCCGGGTACCAATCTCGTTCCGAGGTCGAACGCGCTGGCATACGACCTCGATACCGGCGAACTGAAGCCGTGGGCTCCGGCACTCAACGGTCAGGGGCGCGCCCTCGAAGCGTCCGCTGACGGCAAAACCGTCTTCGTTGGTGGGGATTTCACCAATGTCAGTGGTGTCAACCGGTATCGTCTCGCTGCTGTTGACGCGGATAACGGCACGGTGCTCAACATCTTCACTGCGGCACTTGACGCGGGTGTGCGCGCTCTCGAAGTCCAAGGCGACACGCTGTACGCCGGCGGAATCTTCAATACCGTTGGAGGACAAGCGCGTCAGCGGCTGGCGGCATTCAATGTCGCAACCGGTGCAGCTTTGCCGTGGGCGCCGAAGGCCAACGCCGAGGTAATGGCCATCACGGCACCACCAGGTAGCAACAAGGTAGTGGTCGGCGGTCGCTTCACGACGCTCAACGGTGCGAACAACGTCGGCGTCGGCTCTCTCGATGCCACATCTGGCGCCACTATCTCGTTTCCTACCAACACAGTTGTGCGGAATTCCGGTATCAACTCCGCGATTTACAGCCTCAGCAGCGATGCCGGCACCGTGTACGGGACCGGCTATTCGTACGGGTCGGGAAACCTGGAGAGCGTTTTCGCTTCCGATGTCGCGACCGGAAATCTACGCTGGGTCAGCGGCTGCCGAGGCGACACGTATTCCAACGTCACGATCGGCGACGTGATGTACGTAGCCGGACATCCACACGACTGCAGTCAAATCGGCGGCCTTCCGCAGACCGAACCGTGGAGTTACCAGTGGTCGTTGGCATTTCGTACGAATGCGTCCGGCCCGATCAATTCGAGTGGCAACTTCCTCGGCAAACCGGCACCGGAGTTGTTGCACTGGTTGCCGACATTGGCTCCCGGAACGTTCACGGGCCAGAAGCAGGCGGGTTGGTCGATCGCCGGAAACGATCGCTACATCGTCCTCGGTGGCGAGTTTCCGAAGGTCAACGGTGTGCCGCAGGAGGGGCTTGTTCGGTTGCGCGATCAGGATCAGGCGCCGAACAAGGAAGCGCCGAACGGTTACAACGAGTTGTTGCCTGCGATGACCGGAGTCGGTCCTGGTGCGGTCCGCGCGACGTGGACGGCGGCTTGGGACCGCGACAACAGTCACTTGACCTACGAATTGCTTCGAGGTGCCCAACTTTCGACTGCGACGGTGGCGGCTACGACCGCCAACGATGCGCAGTGGTGGAACCGGGGCCGGATGGGTGCCACGGATACCTCGGCGCCGCCGGGATCGACCCAGACGTACCGGGTTCGGGTCACGGACGCATTCGGCAACACCATGGTCGGGCCGACGGCGACAGCCACAGTGCCGGCCGGAATCGCGTCGCCGCCAAGTGCGTACCAGGAGTTGGTTGCCCGCGACGGCGCCGTCCATTACTGGCGTCTGGGGGAGGCATCGGGGACTCTCGCGTCGGATTGGGCCGGTGATGCCGATCTGACTCTCAAATCAGCCCAGCGCAATGTCGGTGGTGCGATCGTCGGTGATCCGAACCCTTCCACGTCGTTCACGGCCGGATCGAAGACGGGTGGGTCCGCGCACAGTTCGGGCCTCAGTCGTTCAGCGCCGAGGGCGTGGTTCAACACGACCACCCGTTGGGGAGGGAAGATCATCGGTTTCGGCAGCGTGAACACTCAACAACAGCGCCTCCAGCGATCGTCATGTGTACATGAGCAATTCGGGTCAGCTGTTACTCGGTGCGAACGCGAACGGATTCCGGACGGTGGCTGAGTCCACGGTCATACAACGACGGCAAGTGGCATCACGTCGTCGGTGTACTGGGATCGACCGGGATGCGCCTGTATGTCGACGGTGAGCAGGTGGCAGAACGTGCCGACACCGTTCAAGCCGAGTACCGCACCGCGGGATATTGGCGGGTCGGCGGCGACAGTCTGGGAGGTTGGCCCTCGGCACCTCTCAGTTCCAACTTTTTCAGGCGCGCTCGACGAGGTCGCGGTCTACAACTCGGCATTGAGTTCGGATGCAGTGCAGGCGCATTGGCAACGTGGCCAGGGCGTGGTAGCGAATCAGCCGCCGGTCGCGGCGTTCACGGAAACCGTGACGGATCTGGCAGTCGCCTTCGACGGCAGCACTTCGGCAGATCCGGACGGGACAATCGTTTCGTACGAGTGGAACTTCGGTGACGACGCGACAGGTGCCACTATTACAGGTGCCGACGCGAAGATCGACCATAGTTATGCTGTCGCCGGTACGTACGCCGTGACCTTGACCGTCGTGGACAATTCCGGCGCGAAAAGCACTGCAACACATCCGGTTACCGTCAAGGACGCGGTTGTTCCGGCTGACGGCGAGGTAGCCAAGGACAATTTCGACAGGGAAACGGTCTCGGGTCTCGGCGAAGCAGAGGTCGGTGGCGTCTGGTCGGTGACCGGTGGTGGAGCCAAAGCTTCAGTCGAGTCGGGTTCGGCCAAAGTTACAGTACCCGCTGGCCGTTCGGCGACTATGTTGTTGCCCGCGGTAGCGTCCGGTGATGTAGACGTGTCGCATTCGATGTGGCTCGAAGCGATGCCGACCGGCGGCGGCGCGTATCTGTCGACCGTGCTGCGGAGTGGGGCTTCCGGCGATTACCGTTCGCGGGTAAGGATTCTCGCTGACGGTTCGGTACAGGTGTCGTTGACCAAAGTGGTGGCGGGTACCGAAACGGTACTCGGTTCGGTCGTGACGTTGCCCGGCCTGACGTACACGGCAGGTAAGCATCTGCGGGTCCGTGCCCAGGTTCTCGGTGCGTCACCGTCTACCCTGCAGGTAAGGTGTGGGACGAGGAAATGCCAGAGCCGGTGCAGTGGACCAGATCCGTCACCGATTCCACTCCGGAACTGCAAGCTCTGGGTTCGACGGGGTTGGCGGTGTACATTTCGGGATCGTCCACCGAGCCGGTAGTGGCCCGGTTCGACAACTTCGAGGTCGCTCGACCGGAGTAGACGTATACAACACCGCGCGCCCCTGTACTGCCAGGAGGCGCGCGGTGTTGTACTTCGGGGAGTTTGTCAGCGATATGCGACGCTGATGTTGCGAAATGACGCCTGGGCGTTGGCACCGGAATAGTTGCGTGCCAATGTGAAGTAACCCCGAAAGCTGTGCGAGGCGCGCTGACCGTTGTCGGCTCCGGCTCCTGTCCTGAATCACACTCTGCAGTAACGGAATCTGGTTTCACGATGATCCGTAGCGTCAGCCATTGACCCGACGACTGGTTTGGTTCCCGGCCACGGACGACTGCAAAATGGAGAGTGCGTTGCCCTCCGGAATGCTGCGCAATTCCAGGTCACCGGTGGACCGCAGGACGACGAGCTGACCTTGGGTGGTTCCGGGCGAGACCGCGCCGAGTCGATAGGCGGAATCGTCGTCGCGTCCGATGACGACTGCCAGATGATCGGAGGCGAGCGGAGGCGCCGCGCCGAACTGCGCTTCGACGGTGATGACGTACGGGGCAGCGCGCACCGGGCACATCGATCCCATGGATATGGATTGGGGTGATGCGCCGGTTGCCAACAGAATCGAACCGTTCGGCCCCCATTCAGGTGCCGCAGACGATGAATTGTTACCCGCCAGGTCGCCTGGTGCGATCCGCCCGGTGGAAAAGGTGTCGTGCGGACTAGGTTCCGGAGGGCCCGGCCACATAACTCCACGATGAGGACATGAACCCTCGGACCCCAGCCTCAGCAAGGTAGGGGAGTTGGGAGCGGCGGTTTACCGACCATGCGATTACCGGTTTGCCTGTCGCCACGGCGCCCTGGATCGAAGTTTGTTGCCGCTCGTTCTCCCTGCGGACGCCTGCGAAGATTCCGATTGCGTCTGATCCGCCTGCGGCCTCGTCGATTTCGGCACCGGTTGCATGTGAGCTGAAATAGGTGCAGATGGTCAGCCCTGCTTTGCGCGCAGCGGACTCGCCTTCTCTGGCAGTGAACGGTTGTGTGAAGACGGTGGTGCCGCCCAGCTGTTTCGCGGTGACAGCGCCGATCACGTCGGTGGTGGCTTCCGTGTCCTTGGATTCGACAAACAGAACAGCCCGCTTGCCGAGTCTTTCGAGCACCTCTGAGAATGTGGGAATCGGGTGCATCCCCAGTCCGGACCTACCCAGCGGGTGAGATCGACGGGATGATTGCTCAGTTCGTCGTGAGTGACGTCCGCAATTGCGATGTTCTGACCGCTTGTTCGGCTCAACGTCGGGTCCTCATGACAGACGAGGATTCCGTCTCTGGTGCGGTGGACGGCGACGCTGATTGCCTCGGCGCCGCGGTCGGCGATTCGCGAATATGCGGCGAGCGTGTGCTCGGGTGCCTCGTCGCTTGCCCCCGTTGCGCGATGAAATACCTACCGCGGGAGAGGGAATTGGTGAGCCGGCGATTGGGCCGAGATGCTGGAATTACTGCAGGCACTCGTCGCCGATCCGCCCGCAAGGCCCAATCCGAGAAGTGTCGCAGCACGGAACACGCTGCGCCTGGACAGCGAGGTATGCGCGACCACCTCGGCCGCCGTCAACGAGCGACGGCGATGACGTTCTGGGAATCGCTGTGGCCCACTTCGAATACGGCGGTGTCGATCCCGTCCTCCGGTACCTGGAACACGTAGACACCCTGTTGGTGGTCGCCAGGAGGAAGCAGTCCGCTGACCGGCGTGGCTGTGTCGGTCGCGCCGGGTGCCGCCGGCAGTCGGTTGCCGTAGTAGGCGTTGACGGTCAGACTGTCCAGCGAAATGTCCGTGGTGGACTTGTTCGCGAAGTCGAGCGTCACGCTCAAGCTACTGCCCGCGATCTCACCTGGACCGTTGGCCGTGAGTTCGAGCGGTTCGGTAGTCACCGCGGTGACCTCTAGACCGTTGGCCAGTGGGCTCGGGTGGTCGACCGGCACTGGTGGCAGCGTGGAGATGTTCTCGGCGCGGTCTTCGGTGATACCCGGCGGCGGGGGCGTGCCCACGGTGACGCCTGGCGGCGTGACGCTGTCACCGTTCGATGTATCGGAAGCTGGGCTGGAACACCCCGTCAGCGCAGCTATCACCAGCAGTGCTGACACTCCGACCATCCGAGGCGCCGAGGCGGATTTGTGAATCACATGTGCTGTTCTCATCGATTGCTGCCTGCTTCGTGCTGTTTTCTGTGATTCATGCGCTACCGAGTCCCGGTTGGTCGCGATTTGACGGACTTTTCCAGAGCTGCGCGCAGCAGGGTGCTGGAGGTGTCGAGCGTGTAGGGAAATAGACCACCTCGACGCCGACTGCGGCAAATTCCTGCTCCAGCGCAAGGCCTTTCGGTGTTCCTCGCCAGTCATCCCCTTGAAGATCGCATCGAATCCCACGTCGCGCCAGGTGTCGATCTTGTGCGGCTTGGTTTCGGCGACAGCCTCGTCGACGCAGTTGATGCTCGCCACGATCGCGATCCGCTCGGCTAGCGGAATTACCGGGTCACGACCTTTGGCCAGGCGTGCCATCTCATCGGATACAACTCCTGCAATCAGGTAGTCGCATTGGCTCGCTGCGTGGCTGAGGATGTTGAGGTGCCCGATGTGGAACATGTCGTAGACGCCGTGCATAACCGATGCGACGTGTCATGGCCGCCTTCTTGCCTGAAGTTTGCTGTGGGTGCCAGCTAGCCGCTTTTTCATATATGTCCGGTTTCGGTGGTTGTGATCACTGGTTGATTGCTGAATTGAGTATGCTTGGTCTGTCTACCAGGTTGGACGTCAAGCTTCTCGATGTATGCTAGAGGATAGCGTCGAGTGCAGCCCATGCGGGCGAATTTGACCGCAACATTATTGCGGTTCGGGGGATGGCTGATTTCAGTGGAGGCTGAGTGTTTGCTCGACGGATAGCTGTCGTCGGTACGGGGTATGTGGGGCTGACGACGGGTGCGTGCCTGGCGTCACTCGGACATCATGTGATCTGCGCCGATGTCGACGAGGAGAAGATTCGGCGGTTGCAGGATGGGAAGGTGGACATCCTCGAGCCCGGCCTGTCGGAACTGGTGGCGGGAAGGCCTTGCTGCCGGGCGTCTGGCATTCACTGTCGGCGCAGCAGTCGCAGTCGAACAACATGCGGAAGGCGTCGAGGTTGTATTCCTCTATGTGCCAACGCCGATGGGCGTCGGCGGCGTTGCGGATCTGCGAGCTGTGGAGGCGGTACTGGACGAAATCCGCGATACGCTCCCCGGCCGGTTGTGTGATCGTGAACAAATCCACCGTCCCAGTCGGCACCGCCGCGCGAACTGCGGAGTTGTTGGGTCGATCCGATGTCGCGGTCACCAGTAATCCAGAGTTTCTGCGAGAAGGCACCGCGGTTCGCGACTTCCAACCCCGATCGAATCGTCGTGGGTGGGGAGGCACAGGACGCGGCAGAACGCGTCGCGGCGCTTTACCAGGCTCGCGCGCCGACTGTGCTCACCGATTCGGCCAGTGCCGAACTGGTGAAGTACGCGGCCAACGGATTTCTGGCGATGAAGTTGTCGTACGTCAACGCGGTGGCTGAACTGTGCGAGCGACTCGGTGCAGACATTCTGGATGTGACCGAAGGTATGAGCTACGACCGTAGGATCGGTCGTGAGTTTCCTCAATCCTGGCCCAGGATGGGTGGATCGTGTCTGCCGAAGGACACCCAAGCGTTGCTCCAGGTGGCAGATGCTGCTGATTTCGAGTTCCGTCTCATGCGGGCGTCGATCGATACCAATACCCGTCAACGTCAGCGGATGGTGGACAAGATTCGTTTGGCTGTGACGGGCAATCGAAACGGCTCACTCACCCGCACTCGCGTGGCACTGCTCGGTTTGACCTTCAAAGCCGGCACCAATGATCTTCGTGATTCTCCAGCCTTGATGATCGCCGCCTACTGCGGCAGGCGGGCGCAGAGTTGGTCGGGTTCGATCCCGCACTCCCCACAGCGATATCGTATCCGGAACTGGAGGGTATCGAACTGGTCGCCGACGCGTATGCCGCAGTCGCACAAGCCGACGCCGCCGTGGTGCTGACCGAGTGGCCGGAGTTCCGCACGCTCGATTGGCCGCGGATCGCCGCAGCGATGGGCACTCCTCGAGTGATCGACACCCGAAATCTGCTCGACCGAGACGTCCTGACGCGAGCGGGTCTCACGTGGACCGGAGTGGGCCGACGACAACCTTCGACATCACTGTTCTGGCGGCGCAGTAGAACTGTCGAAGGTGCTCGTCGCGAGCATGCCGCGGCGGCAGTATTCGCAGTTATGACAGGATTGGCACGTGAATTCTGCAGTACAGCCTCAGTCTGACGCGTCTCCTTCGAAGCGTCCCGAGTCGATCTTCACGATAGGGACTAGGCTCGAGGACTGGCCTCGGACGAACCGGCACCATCCACACACCGCACGGCGATATCGCGACTCCGTCGTTCGTGGCCGTCGGAACCGAGGCCACGGTCAAGGCCGTGCTGCCGGAGTCCATGAAGGAACTCGGTGCGCAGTCGTTGCTCGCTAATGCGTACCACCTGTACCTGCAGCCGGGACCCGACATCGTCGACGAGGCCGGCGGGCTGGGCAAGTTCATGAACTGGACGGGCCCACCTTCACCGACAGCGGCGGCTTCCAGGTGATGTCCCTTGGCGTCGGGTTCAAGAAGGTGCTCGCGATGGAAGCCGTCGTGCAGTCCGACGACGTCATCGCAAAGGGCAAGGAGCGTCTCGCGACGGTCGACGACGAGGGCGTGACGTTCAAATCGCACCTCGACGGCAGCAAGCATCGGTTCACCCCCGAGGTGTCGATGCAGATTCAGCATCAGCTGGGTGCCGACATCATGTTCGCGTTCGACGAGCTCACCACGTTGCGCTCAACACCCGCGGCTATCAGGAGCGATCGGTCGAGCGCACGCAGGCCTGGGCGATCCGCTGCATCAACGAGCACGAGAAGCTCACGGCCGAACGCGCCGACAAGCCCTATCAGGCTCTCTTCGGCGTGATCCAAGGCGCGCAGTACGAAGATCTGCGTCGTCAAGCCTGCCGCGGACTCGAGTCGATCGAAGGCGAGAACGGATACGGCTTCGACGGCTACGGCATCGGCGGCGCCCTCGAGAAGCAGAACCTCGGCACAATTGTGCGTTGGTGTAACGAGGAACTACCCGAGAACAAGCCGCGTCATATGCTCGGCATCAGTGAACCGGACGACTTCTTCGTCAATCGAGAACGGCGCGGACACTTTCGACTGCGTCAATCCGTCGCGTGTTGCTCGCAATGCCGCGATCTACGTCCGCTCCGGCCGGTTCAACATCAATACCAGCCGATTCCGTCGTGACTTCACGCCTATCGACGACGAGTGCGACTGCTACACCTGCGCCAATTACACCCGCGCGTACATCCATCACCTGTTCAAGGCGAAGGAAATGCTCGCGTCGACGCTGTGCACCATCCACAACGAGCGATTCACCGTGAAGTTGGTCGACGACATCCGAGCCAGCATCGAAGGCGGATACTTCCACGACTTCAAAGCGGACATGCTCGGAAAGTTCTATGCGGCGAAGACGCCGGCACCTCAGACGTAGGTCGGTTCGCGCTTCTTCACGTAGGCGATGACGCGGTAGGTGATCGGCATGACCAGAACCTCGACAAGCGTCTTCCACAGGAAGCCGACCAGCACGTAGTTGATGAAGTCTTCCCACGTACTGATGCCGATGACACCGGCTGCGATGGAACAGAAGATGAGGGTGTCGGCGAATTCGCCGACGACGGTCGAGCCGATCAGCCGCGCCCACAGGTGCTTCTCCTGCATGCGCTTTTTCATCATGACCAGGACCAGGGAGTTCAGCAGCTGGCCGACGAGGTAGGCGGCCAATCCTGCGACCAGCAGCCGGGGAATGACGCCGACCACGGTTTCGAGGGCGGCCTGGTTCTCGCAGAACTCCTGCCGACGGGAGTTGCACAGCGATCCAGAAGCATGCGGCGGCAAGAATCAGTGCGCCGAAGCCCAGGTAGATCGCGCGTCGGGTCGCTTTGAAGCCGTACACCTCGCTGAGTACGTCACCGAGGACGTAGGCAAGCGGGAACAAGAAGAATCCACCATCGGTGATGATGGGCAGAATCTGCAAGGGACCGGAGCGAGAAGTCGGAATCCGCAAAGAAGGCGACCCCTTTGTCGCCGCCACGTTCGAGATCAGCAGCGTTGTGGTGAAGAGCGCGACGATCGTCGGGTAATAACCCCGGCTGACGTGCGCGCAATTTGGTTTCGTGGGTCGATTCGTCTTGCTGATCCTGAGCTGTCACGTCCGTCATCCAAGCACCACAAGGCGCTCGGATGCGAGTTGGCGACCGTCCAGTTGCGTAGAACACACCGAAGGCCCTCCGGTTTCACGTGGAACCGCAGGGGCCTTCGGTGATGCAAACGAACTGATCAGGCAGCTACATGGCCGCCGGTCAGCACGCGGTATGCGTAGGTACTGGCGATCAGCGCGACGGGCGCCGTCACGAGAAGACCGGGATTCCGCACAGCAGTGCGCCGATGATGTTGATACCGATCAGAGCGAGCGCCAGCAGGATCAACGTCCCGACGTTCGACGAGGTCAACGCGTAGCTCGATTTGATGCCCGAAATCGCATCTGATCCTTGTCCACGATGAAGGTCAGCGTGTAGTAGAGCAGGAACGCCGCGATGATGCCGGGAATGATGCACAGAACCAAACCGACATAGGTGGCGACGGCGACAAGGAAACCGCCGAGAACAACTGCACCGATGTTCGTGAATTGAAGAAGGTGCCGAAAGCCGGCTTGATTCCGTCCACCTGCTCAACGCTCCACGAAGGAATGCGGCTTGATGATGTAGCCGACGATTGCGGGTGACCAATCCACCCACGATCGACAGCGCGCTGAATTCGGTATTGGTGTAGTCGAAGCCGTTGAAAGCACCCCTGGATGAGTCCGGCGATCAGAAAGCGATGATCGTGATCCCGATCCAGGACCAGTGCGTTGTCTTTGAACTGTTCCAGCCGTAGGAAATTGCCGCACCCACAGAAGCTGGGGGCGCCGAAGCCTGCGCCGTAGTCATTCGGGGCGGAGGCGGGAAGTTGCCACCACCGGGAGGAGGCGGGTACCCACCGGAGGCGGGTAGTTTCCGCCGGGAGGGGATAGCTTCCACCCTGCGGGGGTGGAGGGAAGTTGCCCTGTGGGGGCGGCGGGTAGCCGCCGGGCGGGGATAACTTCCACCCTGCGGAGGACCGGCCGGTGGAGGATAACTCCCCGGAGGGGTGTGCCCTGCTGGCCGTACGGATCCTGGGGTGGGAATTGCTTCCCGTCTTCTGGGTTCTGGGTTGGGGTCTTGCCCACCGGTTGTCATATATGTCTACCTAACCCTTGACTACCTGAGTCCCACCAGCGAGCTCGTCATGCTTGCCCTGCTTGGTGGGGCTGTTGTTGATGGTGACCGCGATGACGATGTAGGCGACCAGCGCGAGGATTCCGCCGATGATCGGAATGATCGAGAGCAACGTGAAGGCGTTGCGAATCGCAGACTGCTGGACTGGAGGGGCGAGTGCGCCGCCCGGACCGTGCACTGAAAGGCCCAGAATCATCTTTCCCAAAGTCCGACCCTGCGTTACTTCCATTGCGATGAAGTAAGCGAAGGTCAGAATTCCCGAGAACAGTCCCGGAGATCAGAATCAGCTGTCGGAGTCACTGACCAAGAGAGCCAGAATCGCGGCGATGATGCCGACGATGATTCCGTCGATGATGCGGGCGCCGAGTCGAATCCACAGATCACCCGGCTGAGCACCCGAGGGCAGTCGATTTCTCCGCCGTACGCACCTTGGTCGTTGAACTGCGGAGGCGGCGGGAAGTTGCCGCCCTGCGGAGGCGGCGGGTATCCACCGGGCGGCGGGTAGTTGCCACCCTGAGGGGGCGGGAAGTTCCCGCCCTGTGGAGGAGGCGGGTAGCTACCGCCCTGCGGCGGGCCTGCGGGAGGTGGGTAACTTCCGGGAGGAGGTGTTCCCTGCTGGCCATATGGATCCTGGGTGGGAATTGCTTCCTCCTTCTGGATTCTGGTTGGGGTCGTACCCGCCGGTTGTCATGTGTTCCCCTCAGTCGTAAATATCACGCTCGAGTGTGACAGTGGATATGACCCTACTGGGATCAAAGAGCGATGTGGATGACATCTGCTCACTTGGATTCGGAGGTCACCTGTGGTTTAGGCTGCGTTGTATGACGAGTTCTGGGGGCAACAACGACGATTCTTCGAGCGATTACCAGGCAAAACCTGGATACGGAGAATTTCCGAGCCTGCCGCCCGAGGGGTACCGGCGTGTCCCCGTCCGAAACGCAGTCTTCACCTGAAGTTCCCGGATATACCACTCCCAACGAGCAGTACCTGGGTTATCCGCCGCCGTCGTACAACCCAACCGGTAATACGCCTCAGCCGGGTGGAATTGGTGAACCCAATCCATACCTGCCGCCGCAGAATTTCGGACCGCCGAATCAATATCATCCGAATCAATATCAGCAACCCGGACAATACGGACAAGCTCAATACGGACAGCCCCAATACGGTCAACCGCCGAATGCGTACGGTCAACCGAACCAATTCGCTGGTGGATACATCCCGCCGATGCAGCCAGTCGGCACCAATGGTCTCGCAATTGCGTCGTTGGTGGTATCGCTTGCAGGCGGTTGCTTCACCAGTCTCGGCGGAATCATCGGAATCATTTTGGGAATTGTCGCGCTCAATCAGATCAAGCAGACAGGTCAAGAGGGACGCGGGCTTGCGATAGCCGGAATTGCGGTCGGAGCAACTTTCCTGGCCATTTTTGCCGTGATTCTCGTGGTCGCACTCATCGCGAGCGCATCGTCGTCGTACTGAAGTTTGGCGTCGTACTGAAGTGGCTGGCGCTCACACGGGAGTGACTATGGACGACGCAGGAAGCGGCTTCCCGAAGTAATAGCCCTTGGCCCATATCGCAGCCGGCCTGCAAGACGTTGGCTGCGTGTTCCGCGGTTTCCGACGCCCTCGGCGAGTCGAATCAAGCCCGAGTTTCCGAGCGATGTCGGCGATTGACTCCATGACCATGAAGGCGCGGTCTCCAGCACGACCCGCTGCGCTGACGGCCCAGGTCAAGGATTGGTCGATCTTGAGAATGTCGAGCGGCAATTCCGACAACGCGGAGAAAGACGCGAAGCCCGCCCCGAAATCATCCAGCGCGATTCGGAATTCCCTCGTTATGCAAGACGTGAAGAGTCTCGGCGGCATGCCGACCCACGACGCCGAGTTCGGGTGACTTCCACGATGATTCTGCTCAGTGGGGTTTCTGAACTGTCCAGCGCTCCGAGGATCTCGTGAGCGGCGTGCGGGGTAGCGAGTTGGCGAGGTGAAAGTTGACCGCGACCATCATGTGCTCAGGCCACGACGCTGTTTGGGCACAGATCATGTCCAGAGCCTGCAGCCCGATGGGGAATGATGAGCCCAGAGGATTCGGCGGAGCGCATGAAATCTTGGGTTCGATCAACCCTCGAAGCGGATGGCGCCACCGCAGAAGTGCTTCATAGCTGATAATTGCTGACGAGTTCAGATTGACCTGGGGTTGATACAACACCTCGAATTGATGGTCGTCGAGTGCCTCGCGAAGCTCGCGGACCATGCGTATTCCTTTTCGTCCTGAGTCGCCCGTGCCGCACGTGCGTGTCAGCGTGGATGCTGCAAGTGGGTACTGCGGTCGGATCCCAGGTTCAGATCCCGGGCGTAGTTTTGCAGGGACTACTCGCCCTGAATTTCCTTCGCCAGTCTTGACCGTACTTCACTAATCGAGAATTGCCAACGAATAGCTATTGCGGACGGCTTTGTCATATCGGACAATCGAGCTTTTGTCCCGACGAGGTGTCGATTGAAACTTCACTTACTTCGCCGGGAAAATCCACGGGGTTCGGGGATCTTGCGAGAGTCGAATCGATCCGCCAATTGGGGTGGTGTGACAACTTCGCCGGGTTCAGCGAGACCGATGCTCGACGCGATCATTGTCAGGACCTGTTCGGCACTGCGTCCGGCCTCGAGTTGATCGGCCAGAGTCACTGCGCCGTCGCGCTTCGCGAGTCGTTTGCCTTCACTGTTCAACGCGAGAGGAACGTGGGCGTACGACGGCGGTTCGATGTCGAGCAGTTGAGCAAAGGTGCGCCTGACGCGGCGCCGAGGTCAGGAGGTCGTCGCCGCGGACCACCTGATCGATGTTCTGCGCACCGTCGTCGACGACAACGGCGAGGTTGTAGGCGGGTACGCCGTCTCCGCGGAGCAGGACGACGTCGTCGACTTGCCCCGTCACCTCGCCGAACAGTTCGTCGTGCACGGTGAACGAATCGATGTCGGCCCGTAGCCTCAGCGCGGGGGATCGGCCGCTTGCCGATTTCTCGGCGCGTTCGGCCGCCGACAGGTTCCGGCAAGTGCCGGGATAGGCGCCATCGGGAGCATGGGGAGCGGACGGTGCCTGCAGGATCTCCTTGCGTGTGCAGAAGCAGGGATAGGTCAGGTGGCGCTCGCGTAGTAGCTCGATAGCGTTGTGGTACAAGGGAAGACGGTGCGATTGTAAGACGACTGGGCCGTCCCATGTGAGGCCGAGCCTGCGCAGATCGTCGAGTTGTCGTTCCATCGAGCCGGGTCGGACACGGTCGAGATCCTCGACGCGAATGAGGAAGTCGCGCCCGCTGGTGCGGGCGAACAGCCAGGCCAAGAGGGCGGTACGGAGGTTTCCCAGATGGAGATCGCCGGACGGGCTCGGCGCGAAGCGTCCTGCTCCGGCCACGTCAGCTGGCGAGCCCGACGGAGGCGAGCGGGTTCTCGGCGTCGTGCAGGGTGAGGCGGATCTGGGTTTCCAAAGCGTGATCGAGGTACTGCGGCGGATACATGGCGGGGCTTCCGAGTGTCGAGGGCCAATCCATTGACGGTTGAAAGTAGAAGTGCCGCTCTGGTTTCCGCTTCCGGAGTTCCGATCCCGATCAGAACTGTCGAGATGCCGGTGCGGATTGTGAACAGGGTTGTCCGGCGGATTTCGGAGAGTGACTCACTGGTTGCGGCGCGCACGGCAAACGCGGCGAGCACATGCGCCTCACGCGTGCGTTGCTCGTCGAGGGGCAGGAGTTGCGAGAGCGCCTGGAACAGGGCGGTATGCGGGTCCGCGTCGGCGGACGATTCGGCCAGTCTGGTCAACAATCGATCGACGAGTGTTCGCAGTGCGAATGCGAACATCTCGTCCTTGGTCGAGAAATGATGTTGCACTGCGCCGATCGAGACACCCGCCCGTTTTGCGACCTCGCGAACGCTGGCATTTTCCAGTCTGATTCCGCGGCGACATCGAACAATGCCGCCGCAAGCAGGTCTGGACTCGTGGAGGATTTTCGGCGTTCCGGCATACCGTGACATTACATGTGTATGGAAGTAATGCCCACGTCAGGGTACTTTTTCACGCCTTCCGGCCGAGGAAGGCAAGGAGTTTCGTCGCTTTGTCAGCGTTGTCCGGAACCTGTATTTCCGGGCCGCACACACCGCTCATGCGGATCGACTCGCCGAGGCCCGCGGCGATCTCCGACACCCACTCCACGTCCGTGTTACGCATCGTCGTATCGGTGCCGGTCGCGGCTGCGAGATCCCAACCGTGGATGACCAGATCGAAACACAAGAACCCCTCGACCGTGGCCCCGAGGTTGGTCCGGCCGAAGTGCCCGTCGTATTCGAGGGTGGACTTTGCCGGATCGTCCAGAATGGCCTGCATCGAATCTCGGACGGCCGCCCAGGCTGCCGACGGGTCGTCGTCGACCGACGGACCGGGTGCCAATTCCAGGCCGACTACCTTGACCATGTCTCGTTCGCTGTCGAGCACGTGTCTTCACCACGTCGCGGGCGGTCCAGCCCTCGCAGGGGGAATCGTTGTCCCAGCGGTCGGCGGGTACGGCGTCGATCCGCGCCGTGAATCCGGCGGCCAGATCCCGATAACGGTGGGCGGGGAGATCTCTGTTGAAGTCATGACAGCAATCCTTCTCCACCGCGGCGCGTCATGATTGATTATTTCGGACATTCACTCGATCTCCGGGGCTTCCGCCCAGATGTCCATCGGTACGACCCCGGCGCTCTTGCCTTCGTCATCGAGAAGTCGGCCCACCCTCTTCATCGATCGCAGCACCACCTGACCTGTTCAGCACCACCAGGCCCGGTGCCTCTTGTGCGAGTTGTACTTCGGTAATGGGAGTTTCGCGAAGGGAGTGTGCGGCGATCGCGAGCAGTGTGTTGGCGCGTCCACCGGATATCCGCATGCACACTCGTGTTCCAGGCACTCGCTCCACCAGAGCACGAATCGTCGACCGGTCCGTGGGATCGACATATCCCCCACACCCAGGTCACGAGGGCCAGCCGGACAGCGGTAGAGACACGTCGCAGCGGAACACGATTTGGTTGCGCGACGTCAGTTCGGCAAGTCGCCGCCTGACCGTACTTTCGCTCAGGCCGGTACCGACCGTGAGCTCGGCAATCGAGGATCGACCGTCCTCGCCCAGCTTCAATATCAATTGGCGGTCGACCGCGTCGAAAGTCTTCCCGTGATGGCGCTGATCCGTCGGAGCATATTTGTAGCGCACAGGCCGGTCTGTCATCACCGCCCGCTGCGTGGCATCGAGTACCTGCAATTTCCAGTCGTCTCCGATCGCAAAGACCTCGGTGACGAGGTGCGCACGCGAACCGACGATCCCGGGCACCGACGCGAGTGAGCGAAGCAGGAAACGCGACAGGAAAGCCATGTCTCTGACCTCGACGAGAAGAGTCAAGTCGCCTGGGCCGCTTGTGTGTTCGACGCTCCAGAACCTGCGGCCAGCGGGCAAGACGTTCCGCAATCGCCAAGGCGTTCGAAGTCGTACAGTCGACTTCCACGAAAGCCAGACACGATTCCGGGCGGCCGTGGCCGGTTGCCCTCGCGGAGACCCAGGCGGTGCCGGAGTCCTGTAGCCGCTGCCAGCGGCGCGCGACGGTAACCGGATCGACTTTGAGCGCGTCACCAATCGTGCGCCACGACGCTCGCGGGTCGAGTTGCAGGCAATTGATCAGGGCGAGGTCGACGTCGTCGAGCACGGCGGAATCCTGCGTTTCTTCGATCATGATGCAAGTATCGTGCATCTTCTTTGTGTCTGGGATCACTTCATTCATGCTCGAAGGGCAGAACGCGGTAGGCAAGTGCCCACTGTGTTCGTGCTGTGAAAGGAGAACCCAGATGTCGTCCACCACGTTGTCCGCTGTTCCAACCGAGAGAAGTCTCGACTGGGTGCAGCGCCTCATCGGAATCGATACGACGAGTGCCGTGAGCAATCGACCGTTGATCGATCTCATCGCCGCGGAACTACGTCGCCACGGGGTCGAGCCGATACTCGTTTCCGACGACGAGGGTTCCAAGCTGAACCTGTTGGCAACATTCACGCCTCCTGACGGAAGCACTGCCGGTGGAGTGATGTTTTCCGGCCATACAGATGTAGTGCCGGTCGACGATCAAGACTGGAGCAGCCACCCTTTCACTCCCGAAATTCGCGACGGAAGTCTCGTACGGACGCGGCACGTGCGACATGAAGTCGTTCATCGGGATCGTTGTCGCGGCGATCCCCGACATCGTTGCTCGGCCGCTGGCGAAGCCGATTCACTTTGCATTCTCCTACGACGAGGAAGTCGGCTGCATCGGTGCGGCCGGGTTGGTCGAGGAGGTTGTTTCCCGGAACCTGCGCCCTGATGTGTGCGTCGTCGGAGAGCCGTCGGAGATGCGGGTCATTCGCGCACACAAGTCGATGAATGTCATACGTGTTGATCTGCATGGTGTTTCGGCGCACTCGTCGCTTACTCCGCAAGGAGTCAACGCGATCGAATACGGCGCGGAGTTGATTCGATTCGTCAGAAGCGCGGCCGACGAGCTCCGTGCGTCCGGCCCGTACGACGACGCATTCGACGTGGGCCTGGACGACGTGTTCGGTCAATCTCGTATCCGGCGGGATCGCAGTGAACACTGTCCCCGAGGATTGCTCCATCACTTTCGAATTCAGGAGCATCAGCTCAGCTGGCGCCGCAGATTTGCTCGAACGCTTTGCCGCCGAGGCGAATCGGATCGAAAACCTGATGCAGGAAGAAGACCCGTCAGCCTCCGTGACGATGCACGTGTCGGCCTCGGTTCCTCCCCTGGAGACGGATGCGAATGCTTCGGCGGCCGCACTGGTCGAACAATGGGGTGGTCGGTCCTCGGACGAAAAGGTCGCGTACGCCACCGAGGCCGGGATGTTCGCGAGTATCGGTGTCCCCACTGTTGTGTGTGGGCCGGGAAGCATCACTCAGGCGCATGCACCTGACGAGTACGTGACACTTGACCAATTGGCACAGTGCGAGCAGTTCGTTCGGAACGTCATCGCTCACGCCCGCGCCTGACCCACCCTCACCCCCTAAGGAAAACCATGTCCACGGCAACTACGCCAACCTCCGGAGCAGTCACCCCGGAACGCCGGCCGCTGCTCGCAAGGCGGTGATCAGCAGTTCGCTCGGTGCTGCGCGCTCGAATGGTTCGACGTCATCGTCTACGCATCATTTGCAGTGGTCATCGCCCGCAACTTCTTTCCCGGCGGCGACAACACTCTCGGCTTGATACTGACGTTCGCGACGTTCGCGATCTCATACGTCATCCGGCCGCTTGGCGGGATGGTTCTCGAAGCTATGCCGACCGTCGCGGGCGCAAGAACCGCCTTGACGTTGACGATGATGCTGATGATGATCGGCACGCTCATCATGGCGTGGCGCCGACGACCTCGATGATCGGGCCGTGGGCCGGCGTCGTCATCCTGGTTTCGCGACTCATTCAAGGATTCTCCGCAGGCGGTGAATTCGGCACTGCTACAACCTTCCTCGTGGAAACTGCACCGCACAAGAAGGCGTTCTACTCTTCCTGGCAGGTTGCCAGCCAGGGTGCTTCGGTTTTCCTGGCATCGTTGTTCGGATACGTGCTCAATACCATCTCTCGCATGAAGCGCTTCTACTCGTGGGGCTGGCGCGTTCCGTTCCTTCTTCGGCATCATCGTCGGGCCGGTCGGTCTCTACATCCGCGCCAAGCTCGATGAAACGGACGATTTCAAGACGAGCGTTCCGGAAAAAGCCCCACTGAAGACGACGCTGACCAGGCATCTCGGCCGGGTGCTTACCGGCGCCGCAGTAGTCGGCGTCGCGACGATCTCGATCTACCTCATCTTGTACATGCCGACGTTTGCCGTGAAGAACCTCGGAGTATCCGCCTCTGCCGGCTACCTCGGCGGAATCGTCGCCGGACTGGTCACCTTGATCACCGTGCCGTTGATCGGTCATCTTGCCGATCGGGTCGGACCTGCGAGAGTTATGACCTGGGCCGCCGTTGCGGCAATCGTCCTGGCCTGGCCGCTCTTCAAACTGATGGTCGATCACCCCTCGACTCTGACGCTCGTCCTGGTTGTTTCGGCCCTGGGCGTCATCATGGCGTTTGCCTTCGGCCCCTTGCCTGCCTTGATGAGTTCGCTGTTCCCGGCGGAGATCCGGGCTACCGGGATGTCTTTGTCGTACAACCTCGGCGTGACTTTGCTCGGCGGAATCGCGCCGTTGGTCTTGACCTGGTTGATCAGTACAACAGGCTCGCGCTCGACGCTCCGAGCTACTACTACATGACGGTCGCAGTGCTCTCCCTCGGCGGGCTGTGGTCTGCCAGGACGCTTTTCAGTCAGAAGTGACGGCGGGGGAGCGCGGTAGCGATCATGCGACCGCGTCTCCCTCTGCCAGCGCGACAACGGTATCCGACCCGTGCCAGTCAGGGGCTTGGGATCGCAGCAGAGCTGCCGGGGTCAGCGAAGAGATTCGGCGGCATTCACGCGTCAAGTGGGCCTGATCGCTGAATCCGCGGTGGGCTGCGGATTCAGCGAGGCCCAGCGCGGGTCGACTGCGAGCGAGCGCCATGAAGCGCTGGAGGCGCAGGATCGAGCGCAGCGTTGCAGGGCCAGTATCCGAAGGCGTCGTTGCATCGACGCTGGAGTTGGCGCGAAGTCAGTGCACGCCGCGTCGGCGAGAGTGCTGACATTCCACGAATGTTCGGACAGTGCGGTGCGGACGTGGTTGATCACCGGATCGTGACGGAAACTCGAACTTGCCCAACTCCGGACAGCGCTTTCTGAGGATCGAGACTTGTTCGTGGTCTTCGGAATTTTCTAAGCGGTTCAACAGTATTCGTTCCGTGCGTGCGTCGGTTACAGCGCTGAGGTCAGCGCGAGAATCTCGAAGCTCGGACGCCGAGGTTCGCAACATCGGCGATGCCGATCCAGGGCGGAATCGAACACCCACGGAGCGTGTTCCGGGCGGAAGAGTGAATGACCATGCAGCGGTTTCGGGGCCACAGACGCGTATGCCGACGCCACGTATCCACAGCACGTCCATGCAAGCATCGGGCACGAGCAGGTGTTCACCTTCTGCGCACGCCGTCCAGCCACACACCAGGATGTCGGAGAGATCCGGGGCGACCGATTGTGGTGTGTACCAACCCATGACAAGAGCCTATCGAGCGCCCCCGACACGAAGGCGAGTTCATTCGACCGGGCCGAAGCGATATCCGAACCCCGGATGGTTTTGATGTACTTCGGTTTCGCGGGATTGGATTCGAGTTTGGACCGCAAGCTGAGAATGGTCGCGTCGACCACACGTGTCTTTCGTGGTCGGAACCCCAGACGTTTCGGATCAGATGATCACGCGAGTACACGCGCCCAGGCTCGGTCGACAGTTCCAGGAGTACCCGCCATTCGGTCCGGCTGAGGACGAGCAGCTTTCCGCCCATCGTCGCCGTCATCGCACGTCGATCGAGGAGCAGGTCACCGTGACGTTGGTGTTTTCCGGCGGCGGGATGCGCGGTTTCACGAAGGATCGCGGTGACCCGAAGATCGAGCGCGTGAGAATCGATCGGGTTCAGTACGAAGTCCGAGACAGCGCCATGTGGTGCTTCGTCGATGTCCTCGTGGGTATCCACCAACATCATGATCGGCATCGAACTGCGCAAAGCGGATCTGTCGTGCAATCTCGCAGCCGTCGATGTCCGGCAACAAGAGATCGATCACGGCGATATCGAAACTGTCGGTGTCCAGGTCGTCGAGGTAGGCGGCGCCCGGTGCGGACGAGCTGTGTTTGATGACCAAATGTACTAATTCGGCCCCGAGTGTCTGGGCAAGCTCCGAACGGTCGGTAGCTGCAAGTATCAAGCTTCACGTGAAATCCTCCCCGAAGGTGTTACTAGTCGTAACAGCTTGCATTCTGGCAGATCATCCACCGCATGGCCACAACAAGGTGGCTGATCAAAAGTTGAGGGAACCTGGGGCGTTCGTCGCTAGACTTCTTTCATGGGCACTCTGTTCGCGTTGACGCTGCCAGGCTTGCTCGTGCTGCTGGTCCTGTTCGCGTTCGCCGAGACTCTCTGGAACCGGCTCACCGGTGGCCGGGCCCTGCCTGTGGACCAGGGGCGCACGACTCGTCCGGTCTCGGCTGCGGGCTTCGAAGAGGTTGCTGCCCTGTTTCAGGGGTCCAAGCATCATGAATTCGAACAGCGGCAGAGTGCGTTGATGCATCGTGAGGACGGAACCGACGGTGACCCGCCGTGGGTGTCCGTCGATCCGGAAGCTACCAAGGTCGTTCTCCGTCGACGGGTTGACAGTCGCCGACAAGTCGACGGAGTTGACAGTCGACGGAGTTGACAGTCGGGCTCAGGCCCAGTGGCTGGGGCAGGTCAGTGAATCGGGAGTGTGGTAGACCGAATCGCCAACCGCCGCGTTGATCTGGAACTGAGTGAGAAGATACTGCCGCGGAGTTTTGCGCCGCGAATGTCGGTGCCGCGCAGTCTGCACCGATCAGATCGGCGCGATCGAGTCCGCAGCCGCGGAGGTCTGCACCGATCAGATAACTCCGCGAAAGTTGGCCCCACGTAGGATCGGAACCACGAAGTTTGGCGCCGATGAGGTCTGCGCCGCGGTGGTCGAGTTTGCGACCCTTCTTGCCCGAGACAGGTGAGCGCACAAGGTCACTCGTCTGCAAGAGCAGTGTGTTGACAGTCGCTCGGTGTGCTGAGACGTCGACGGCTTGAATCTGCGAAGGCGTGCCGTTGGTCAGGCTTTCCGTTCTGCGAGTGCAGCGTCGAGTTCCTTTCGTATCGAGTGGGTTTGCTTCAGCGAGCGGGCTTCGGCGAGATACCAGAGCAGTTCGTGCAACTGGCGTACGACAGGGAACGTTTCGAACATGTCTGACGCGGTCTCCGGGGGCATCGCGCCAGCTGATGCCGTCGTAGGTCTGCTGTGAAACCTTCTGTCCCGCACCGAAACAGTCGTACACGGTGCAACCGGTGAAGCCCTTCTTTCGCAATCCGGTGTGAATGCCGCAACGGAAATCCTGCTGCAGGTTCTCGCAGGGTCGCCGGCATTCTTGTTGGTCGCGAAGTCGGAGGACTTGGAAAAGGGGAGTGCGACGCAGCACAGGCCGAAGCAACTGCTGCAATCCGCGAGCAGATTGGTCTGGCCGGCAAAGCACGCGTACTCCCCGGTGTTGGGTTGGACGGAAAGTCTGGCTTCGAGTTCGTGAGTCTGTCAAGCGAATTTTCGTGGTTCTGAAGCAGTCGATGCGCTGCTACGCTGCTTCTCACATGTCGATTCGAAGCCGGGGGGCTTGGGTGGGGAACGAAATACTGCAAGCGGGCGGCGGTTGGATTCGAGGCAAAAGGCGTTGGAAAGGCCGGAACTTTCGGGTCGACTTCGATGATGGCCTGGTGTGGATATGAAGCGCCGCAAACGATTCCACAAGCAGGGCTCGACGGGTACGCCGACGGCGGCGCGGGATCGCTGGATCGATTCCAAGACGGACTGCGTGCATCCCACGACGGCACGCATTAATGCAACACGGTCATCGGACACATTTACGGATCGACCGTGATCGGCGCTGCGGCGCCTCGGACGGACGATCAATGGACGCGAATGATCTGTTCTTCGTGGGAAGCCCCGGAACATGTCGGTGGCCACGTGTACGCCGCCGCCGCGGCAAATGATCCGGTTCCGATGATCGGGGACGTGTTCGGCGGTCTCTCGCACGGGCGATCCCCGCGAATGATCTTCCGCTGATCCGGATTCGGTGCCACCGTCGTCGAGTCAGCACCCGGAACCTGGATCGACGCGGGTCTGTTGGGCGAGCTCCCCAGCCCAGTCGCACACAGCGAGTATTGGGAACGCACCAACCCGGCTCTTGCCGGGATGGGCCACGTGATCGCCGGACTAGGAGCGCCATGACTAACGCAACGCGACGCCGTAAAGCACTCGGCATGAGCAGTATCGCGGTGGCAATCCTGCTGTCGGCGTGTACGACGACGGAGAACGGGAAAGTGATGGAAGCCAACTCGAATCTGACCCTCATGCAGGCACAGGCCAAGGTGATCGAATACATGACGGACACGATCACGGTACTGCCGCCGGGCGCCTACTTGACGCGGTATTCCGAACTGAACCAGAAGGTCACCCTCGATCCGGGTGGCACCGTCCCGTGCAATGACAGCAATCTGTCGAAGGACACATCCGTGGACTACGGCGTGACGTACTTCCTCACCTCAACTGAAACCGCCGACATCCCAGGTTTCGGTGATCCGATTCGCAATCTGTGGACTGAGCGCGGCTGGAAGTTTCGAACGTACGACTCGCTGGGGACTCGACGAGCACCGAGACAATCTTGCCGGATGGATATCGAATGGTTCTGGAGGAGTACGCGCGGGGAGCAAGTTTGACCGGGTCGTCGCCGTGTTTCCCCCGACCTGATGCATCGGATCGTCCAGAACGCGCCCGTGCAGATCGATCAACCTTGACCGGGCCCGCGTCCTCGTTTCCCGAGTTGACTGTCCTCGCTCGCCAAGTCGACGCCGAGGTCGGGAACGTTCGCGCCCGCGCAGATGCTGGAGGTGGTGCAGTCAGCGTCGAGGTTGACGCGTACGGCGCGATCACTGACTTGCAACTCACCGAGAGCGGTCTCCGGGCCGGCGCGGCTGCGCTCTCCGCCTCGATCGCAGCGGCCCACCGAACCGCCTGCGTCAGCAGCGTCTGCCGCGCAAGAACTACGCGCCCCACTCCTCCGTGACCCTCGCGTCGCCAGGGCAATGAATGCTTTCAATGCAGTGGACGCGTTCGATCAGGCGCCGGCCGCACTCAACCTCACGTGGTGAAACGAGCCGACCGCGCGTCGGTCGACGACGACCCACCCTTCGACGGCGGTTCGTTCATGCGACGTGCCTGAGCCGGGCAAAGAACCCTGCGAACCGCTTCTCAGCAGTTCACAGGGGTTCCTGGCGGAGGATAGAGATTTGAACCCCTGAGGGCGTTAACCCAACCCGCGTTCCAGGCGAGCGCCATAGGCCACTAGGCGAATCCTCCGTGGAGCAGCATACCCAATTGCGAGCGTGAAGCGTTAAACGGGTACCTGACCTGCGAAGAACCGGTGGATCTCAGGGTTTGGATGTCCGCCCCGGTAGGTGGGTGCAGCGGCCGACGAAAGCCGTCTACACTGTTCATTGGATCCCGCGCGGCGCGCATCCTGTGAACTCCCCAGGGCCGGAAGGCAGCAGGGTCAACGGGCTCTGCCGGGTGCGCGGGGTCCTCTATTTTTCACATACCCGACCCGCCTCGTCGGTGAAAGGCCGCTCGGATGCCTATCCAAACCCAGATCGGGTTGATGAGCCATGAAGAACTCACCTCCGAGCACTGAGAGCCAGAGCGCGCGAGTACACGCAGCTCCAGGCGCAGAAGCTCGCACTCGATCTGACCCGCGGTAAGCCTTCCCGGAACAACTCGACCTTTCCGCAGAGCTGCTGACGCTGCCTGGCGACGGTGACTTCCGAGACGGCAGCGGCACCGACTGCCGTAACTACGGCGGACTCACCGGTCTGCCGGAACTGCGCGCCATCTTCGGTGAGCTGCTGGGTATCCCCGTTGCGAACCTTCTCGCCGGCAACAACGCGAGCCTCGAGATCATGCACGACAACGTCGTGTTCTCACTGCTGCACGGCACTCCGGATTCGGCCCGGCCATGGGCACAGGAAGAGAAGATCAAGTTTCTCTGCCCCGCACCGGGCTACGACCGCCACTTCGCGATCACCGAGTCCCTCGGCATCGAGATGATTGCGGTGCCGATGAACCACGACGGCCCGGATGTCGTCAAGATCGCCGAACTTGTTGCGTCAGATCCGCAGATCAAGGGCATGTGGGCGGTTCCGGTTTACGCGAACCCCACCGGTGCCGTGTACTCGAAGAAATTGTCCGGACGCTCGCGTCGATGCCGACGGCCGCGCCGGACTTCCGCCTGTACTGGGACAACGCGTATGCCGTGCATCCACTTGTCGGCGAGACCGCACCTTCCTACGACATTCTCTCGATGGCAGCGGAGGCCGGACACCCCAACCGTCCGCTCGTGTTCGCGTCGACGTCCAAGATCACTTTCGCCGGCGCTGGTGTGAGCTTCTTCGGTAGCTCGGCGGAAAACCTTGCCTGGTACCAGAAGTTCCTGGGTAAGAAGAGCATCGGACCTGACAAGGTCAATCAGCTTCGCCACCTGCGTTTCTTCGGCAATGCCGACGGCGTTCGGTGCGCACATGGAGAAGCATCGCGCGTTCCTCGCACCCGTTCGAGCTCGTACTGCGGATCCTCGAGGATCGTCTAGGTGCCTCGAAGGTCGCGTCCTGGACGGAGCCGAAGGGCGGATACTTCATCAGCCTCGACGTGGTCGACGGCACGGCCAAGCGGGTCATCGAACTGGCGAAGAACGCGGGTATCGCGCTCACCGCTGCCGGATCCGGCTTTCCGTACAGCACGGATCCGGACGACCGGAACATCCGGTTGGCCCCGAGCTTCCCGTCCACGGCTGAACTCGAAGTTGCCATGGACGGCGTGGCGACGTGTGTCCTGCTCGCAGCCACCGAATCGCGTCTCTCCGAGATCTGAGTTCTCTAAGCGGCGTGCCCGGTCGGTACTTTTCGGTCTCGTCTTGTACCGTTCGGAGCATCAATTCCCGACATAGGGTGTAAATCCCGGAGGTTGTAGTGACGGGCGCGATCAACGCTTCGGATGGACCCTCTTTCGAGGCGCACACCGCGAAATCAGAGTCGGTCATCGAAGCTGACATACCGCGACGCAGTCTCCGTGTCGGTGTTCTCGGATTCTCTGTGCTCGGTGTTCTGGCAGTCGCGTCCGTGCTGATGGTTCTTTTCGCCGTGCCGATGAATACGCGGTACTGGGGATCTTCGAAATATTCCTCGATCTCGACGTCTACCGCCACGGCGGCAGCGTTGTGGTTCAGGGCCTTCCGTTGTACGACGGGCCAGTCCTCGAAGGGATGATGTTCACGTACACCCCGTTTGCGGCTTTGCTGTTCACGGTGTGGGCGGTGCTCGTTCAAACAGGCGATTGTCGTGGACGGGTTTGAACATCGCTGCGTTGTTCGCAGTGATCGTGTTGTGCTGGAAGTACCTCGGTTATCGGCTCGACGTGAAGGCGTACGCCGTCAGTGCGTTAGCCACCACGATCTTTCTGTTCATGGAACCGATACGTACGACGCTCTGGCTCGGGCAGATCAACATCTTCCTGCTGCTCTTGATCGTGTGGGACCTCAGTCGGGACGAGAAGAGTCGGTCCGAGGGTCGGGGCAGGCATCGCCGCCGGCGTGAAGCTCACCCGGCCTTCTTCTGGGCGTACCTCTTCATCACTCGTCAATGGCGTGCGTTGGTGACGGCCGTCGTGACGTTCGCGGCGACCGTCGCGATTGGTTTCGTCGTGATCTACAACGATGCGTACAAGTACTGGACCGAGCACTCTTGTCGACAGCGAACACGTCGGACCGACGGATGCTCGCAACCAGTCCGTGTCCGGTCTGATCGCTCAGCTCACTCACACCCGACGCCGTCGCGGGTCCTGGTCCTCGTCTTCAGTGCGCTGGCGGTATGCCTCGGACTCGTGCCGCGTGGATTGCTCACCGGCACGGCCAGAAATTGCTCGGCCTCACCATGACGGGGTTGACTGCGACCACTGTCTCGCCGTTCTCGTGGGGTCATCACTGGGTGTGGTTCGTCCCGCTGGTCGTCCTCGCCGCGCACTACGCGATGGTGTCGAAGAAGCGCTGGGCGGGTGGCGCCATTCGTTTTCCTGCTCCCAGTCTTGAACTGGTCTCACACTTGGTGGGACCCGTCGGTCATTCCGGGTACGGATCGCTTTGTCGGAATGGGCCTGTTCATGTTCGTGCCGCCCGAGTATCTGCGGATTCCGACCGTCGGCGTCTACCTCTGGGTCTTCTACGCTTGCCGCGGTCTCGACGTTGGTTTCTGTTCGGCTGGAAGAAATGGAAGATTCCCGGCTCCGGATGCGTCGGCGCCGGTCACAACTGCCGCCTGACGTGGCAGTATCGGACTCATGGCACTTCAACTGAACCTTGTCGGTGACCCCGAAGCTGATGCCCTCCTCGCCGAGGACCCGTTGGCGTTGTTGATCGGAATGCTTCTCGATCAACAGGTTCCGATGGAAACGGCCTTCCTCGGTCCGAAGAAGCTGGCGGATCGGCTCAGCGGTATCGACGTCAGGCGTATCGCCGACATGGACACCGACGAGTTCATCGCCATCTGTGCCGAGCCTCCGGCTGTGCACCGATTCCCCAAGTCGATGGGCGAGCGTATCCAGCTCATGTGCCAGTTCATCGTCGAGAACTACGACGGCGACACCGCGGCGATCTGGACTTCGGGAAATCCCGACGGCAAGGAAGTGCTGAAGCGGCTCAAAGCCCTACCCGGTTACGGGGATCAGAAAGCCCGGATCTTCCTGGCGTTGCTCGGAAAACAGATCGGCGTCGAGCCGAAAGGTTGGCGCCAAGCGGCCGGCGACTACGGGCTCGAGGGGTCGAGGCGCTCGATTGCAGACGTGGTCGACGAACAGTCTTTGCTCGAGGTCCGCGAGTTCAAGAAGGCCGCAAAGGCGGCAGCGAAGGCCGACAAGAAGTAGCCGCTTTCAGGATTTCCGGGACCCGCTGGCACGCACTACTTCATCAGGTCACCTGCGGGGCCCTCGAGCTGACGCGGCGGGCGCCACACTGCACGCAGGGATCGGTCGAGTTCCAAGCCTTCGACGGCTACGACCCGAAGTTCTCCCTGCTTCACCTGGTCCTCGACGGCCAGCGTGCTCAGTACCGCCGGGCCGACGCCACCGAGCACGCTGGTTCGAATCGCGGCCGAACTACCCAGTTCCAACAACGGTGCACCGCGCTCGTATTCGTGTAACGCCAGGTCGAGAGTCGTTCTGGTTCCCGATCCGGGCTCACGCACCAGCAGAGGTGTCGCTGCCAGTTCGGCGACGGTCAGCGGCTTTCGTCGACGCGCCCATGGATGATCCGGATGAACGACCACGACCAGCGAGTCACGCGCGACGGTGACGCTGGGCAGGCTCTTCGAACGGTCGGTGACTCGACGAATCCGAGGTCACACATTCCTACTTCGACGGCTTCGAGTACGCGTGTCGAGTTGTAGACCTGAAGGTGGACGGTGACACCAGGATGCAGTGATCGAAAGACGCCGAGCCAGGCCGGGATCAGATGTTCGGCGACGGTCATGCTGGCACACACGGTCAATTCCGCGGATCGTTCGGTCCGCATCCCTTCGGCGACGTCGGAAGCTGCCTCGAGTTGGCGAGGACGCGGCGCGCCCAGTGGACGATGACGGTCCCCTGCGGAGTCAAAGTCGCCCCGTCGACCTTCGGTGTATGAGTGGCATCCCGAGCTGCCGCTCGAGGGCTTTGACGGCGCGGCTGGCATTCGGTTGTGCGATGTGAGCCAGACGGCTTGCAGCACTGAGGCTTCCGTGATCATCGATGCCGACGAGTAGCTCGAGTGTGGTGAGGTCGGGCCACCTTCTGGTCATGCAGACAGGCTATACCCAGCATCTATTCCATATCGATCTGATATGTCGTGATGGTAGAAATCGCCCTACCGGAGCGATGGTGGCTCAAGGACGCTGGATGAGTGAACCGTGATGTGAAGTCCGTGGCCGAGGAAACCCGCAGTCGCCCCTTCGTCAGAAGTACGACGGTGGTCGAGCGTCGCTGCATTGATGCCCGGAGTTGCGTTGTGCGCCTTGGGGGCCACGGTCGCGCTGGTTGCCGGTCAGTTCACCTCCGCCGTGAGTCCGTTGCTGATTGCGATAGTGGCGGGTGCGGTGTTGGCGAATACCGTCTCTTTGCCGGCGAAATTCCAACCTGGCCTGGCATTCTCGGCGAAACGGCTACTTCGGGTGGGTATCGCTCTGCTCGGGCTGCAATTGATGTTCTCCGACATCGTCGGTTTGGGTTGGGGAGTGATCGCCGTTGTGGTGGCGATAGTGTTCCTCGGTATCGCCGGGACCATGTATGCCGGAAAGCTTCTGGGATTGAGTTGGTCGCAGAGGATTCTGATTGCCTGCGGCCTTCTCGATCTGTGGCGCCGCCGCTGTGGCTGCTGCGGACGGTGTGGTGAATGCGCGAGAGGAAGAGTTGCTGACCGCTGTTGCGCTGGTGGTGATCTTCGGAACTCTGATGATTCCGACGATCCCCTTGCTGGCCGATGCTTTCGGTATGAACGAGATCGAGGCGGGCATGTGGGCCGGTGGGTCGATCCACGAAGTGGCACAAGTAGTGGCTGCCGGCAGCGCTCTCGGCGCCACCGCGTTGGGTGTCGCGACCGTGGTGAAACTTGCGCGCGTATTGATGTTGGCGCCGGTCATGGCGTTTCTGAGCATTCGGCAACGCACGATGGTCGACAACACCGCAACGAAGCGGCCCCCGCTGATTCCGTTGTTCGTCGTGGCATTCATCGGCTGCATGGGTTTGCGCTCCACCGGAATGTTGCCAAATGAGCTTCTCGGATTGGCGAAGACTGTGCAGACGGCGCTGTTGGCTGCTGCGATGTTCGCTCTCGGGCTGGGGGTGCGGCTGAGCGTCATTCGTGGAGTGGGCGCACGACCATTCGTTCTGGCCGCGATTTCCACCGTGTGGGTGGCGACGATCGCCTACGTCGGAGTCGTGCTGGTCAGCTGATCGAGCGTTGAGTCCGCCATGCGCTCGGGCTCGTCGAGAACTGAGTGCGAAACCAGCGCGAGAAACTACCCTGCGTCGAAAACCCCAGGTGGACCGCCACTTCGGTCAATGAATAGCGAGGGTTGGCGACAAATCGTTCCGCGAGGGTGCTTCGGACCGAATTGAGAACGGCCGTGAACGTATCTCCGGATTCGGCGAGATGACGGTGCAGTGTCCGCCGGTCGAACCCGAGGCTTCGTGCCACCTGCTCGACAGAGCAGCGGCCGGTCGGAAGCAGAACTTCGATCAATTCCTTGGTGCGGCTGAGGGTGTCGGAGGTTTCCGATGCGGGAAGTGAGTCGAGGAACTGGCGAGCGTACGGCCGGAGCAACTCGTCGGAGAGTTGGTTTGCCGCATCCAGGTCGGCGGCGAAGAAAACGATTCCGGTGAATTCGTGATCGAATTCCACGGTGTCGCCGAGGATTCGTCGATGCGTGCTCGTATCTTTCGGGGCATTGTGCGTGAATCCCACGCTGACCGGATGCCATCGAGAACCCAGGAAACTTCGCAGGATCTGCAGCGTCGCGCCGACTGCGAGTTCGACGCTCTGTCTGGTGTCGACCGGTTCGCCGACCCGAGCGAGATTCGCAGGGTGGCGAGTCCGTTTGACCTCGTTCAATCGGATGCGCAATGACTCGTTGTACGTGTGCTCGTATCGCATCAATACGTCGAGCGCGCTCCTGACGTCTGGTTCTTCCCTGATGACCAAGCTGAGGGGACCGAGATTGGACAGTCGACGCAGGCCGGCGAGTAGAAGCCCGAAGTCTTCGTGTCCGGACTCCGCTGCCGATCGCTCCAGGAGCGATGCGATGGAGGCGGCCGGTACCCATTGGTCGGGGTTCGCCAGGCTTGCCGGGCTCAGGCCGACACTTCTCATGAGGGCCACAGCGTCCACGTCCACTGTTCGGCACAGGTCGACGTATCGGTTCAGTGACGCGTAGCGGGCGAGTGGCTTCATAGGGCCCCTTTACTCGATGTCCCGAAATGTTGTGTTGTGTGTCTCGTCAAGTTAAGCATGTGAGCCGGATCTCACATAGTTTTGTTCACATCAGTTCGGTACGACCGCGAAGTCGAGCACCGACTTCCTGGAAGTTGTTGCGTACGAATACAGCTCGACCGTAATCGAGTCGAGCCCGCCCACAGAATTGGAGAGCATTGATGGCAAACGCCATTCGGTTCCATGAGATCGGCACACCGTCCGTCATGCGTTGGGAAGAGATCGAGGTAGGACGACCGGGTGCCGGAGAGGTTCGGGTTCGTCATGAAGCGGTGGGGTTGAACTTCGCCGACACCTACTTTCGAAGTGGCCTCTATCCTGCGCAATTGCCTGCCGGGATGGGCGTTGAGGGCGCCGGTGTGGTCGAAGAGATCGGCGAGGGAGTAGTCGATTTTGCAGTGGGGGACCGTGTGACCTACACCGGCAGTCCGCTGGGTGCGTACGCCACCGAGCGGATCATGGCGTCGTCCGACCTGATCGCGCTACCCGACGGCATCGCCTTCGACACCGCGGCCGCCATGACCATGCGAGGACTGACTGCCGCCTACCTTCTGCGTCGCATCTACCCGTTGAAAGCGGAGACACCGTGTTGCTGCATGCTGCGGCGGGCGGGGTTGGACTGATCTTCACCCAGTGGGCAAAACTGTTGGGAATCAAAGTGATCGGAACGGTGTCGAGCGACGAGAAGGCGAGCGTTGCCCGAGCTCACGGGTGCGATGAAGTCGTCATCTACACCCGCCGGACGTCGTAGCGCGTGTCAAGCGGAGATCACCGGGGGCGTCGGCGTGCCGGTTGTCTACGACAGTATCGGGCAATCCACGTTCGACATCTCTCTCGATTGCCTTGCCAGGCGCGGGCTGATGGTGTGCTTCGGAACGGCGTCCGGGCCGACTCCGCCGATTCAGGCAATGCAGTTGGCCGTCAAGGGATCTCTCTTCCTCACACGTCCGGCACTTGCCGATTACATCGCGGATCCCGAGGAACGTGCCGAGGTGGCCGGGGCGAACTGTTCTACACGTCGAATCCGGGCGAATCAAGATCGAGATCAACCAGCGATACCCCTCGAAGATGCGGTGCGTGCGCACCACGACATGAGTCCGGTCGCAGTATCGGTTCCCTCCGTCTTCTCCGTCTGAACCGAAACAGCACTTCCCAGAGGAATTGTCATGACCAACACCGCACGCGTTGACAGAAAACCTTCCCTCGTCGACCAGCACGATCCACGTCGAGAAATTGACCTGTTCGATCAAGGCAGAGTTGTCCAGGGGTGGATCTCGGCGAGGTCGCGCGAGATGCTGCACTCTTTGCCCAGATCAAGGGATTGCTGCTCGAACACAAGGTTCTGTTCTTTCGCGACCAGAACTTCTCAAAGCTCGAGCACGTAGAGCTTGCCCAGCGATTCGGTGAGCTCGAGGATCATCCGGCCCTGGGCAGCGACCCCGACCACCCGGGCCTGGTCCGCATCTACAAAGACCTGGACAGCCCGCCGGAGCATTTCGAGAATGCGTATCACTGCGACGCCACCTGGCGCGTGAACCCGCCCATGGGATGTAGTTGCGTTGTGTGGAAACACCTCCGGTCGGCGGCGACACGATTTGGGTGAACATGGCACTCGCCTACGAGAATCTGCCGGCGCGGGTCAGGAGCAGATCAAGGATCTGCGTGCCAGGCACAGTATCAGGTCGACCTTCGGCGCTCGGATGCCGATCGATCAGCGGCACCAGCTGAAGGAACGCTTTCCCGACGCCGAACATCCCGTGGTACGAACACATCCGGAGACCGGCGAGAAGATTCTCTTCGTCAATTCGTTCGCCACACCTCGTGAACTATCACACGCCCGGGAACGTCCGCTACGGAATCGATTACGCCCCCCGGTGCCGGAAACCTGCTCACCTACCTGGCCAGTCAGGCCCAGATTCCCGAGTACCAGGTTCGGTGGCGCTGGACCGAGAACAGCGTCGCGATCTGGGACAACCGGTCGACACAGCATTACGCGGTGCAGGACTACTGGCCCGCGGTTCGAAAGATGGAGCGCGCCGGAATCATCGGCGACGCACCGTTCTGATCTCTCTTCCCAGCCCCGAGATAATTCATTCACTCGATCGGAGTCGCTATGCATTTCCACGACGATTCACTGTTCCCCGAAACCCAGGACAAGCTGTCATCACCGTTGCTCCCTACGGACCGGAGTGGGAGCCGGACGATTTTGCAGAAGACCTCCCGTTGTCGATGGACGAGCATGTCCCAGCAAGCCGTCGACTGCTTCAACGCCGGTGCCACCGTTCTTCACATCCACGTGCGTGAACTCGACGGCAAGGGCTCGAAGCGACTGTCGAAGTTCAACGAGCTTCTCGGCCGCTTGCGTGAGGCCGTTCCCGAGATGATTCTGCAGGTCGGCGGCTCGATTTCGTTTGCCCCGGAGGGCGAAGGCGCCGATGCGAAGTGGTTGTCCGACGACGTGCGTCACATGCTGGCGGGATGGAGCCGGCTCCCGATCAGGTGACGATCGCGATCAACACCAGCCAGATGAACATCATGGAACTGATGACCGACGACGACATCGCGGGTACGTCGATGCAGCGTCCGGAATTGGCGGACACGTATCGGGAAATGACCGTGCCCGCCGGTCCGAGTGGTGGCAGAGCACCTGCGCCGGTTGCAGGCCGCCGGAATCCAGCCGCATTTCCAGTTGTCCAGTATCCCGCAGCTCGAAACGGTGGAGCGGTTGATCCGACGCGGCATCTACACCGGCCCGGTCAACCTCACATGGGTGGCAATCGGCGGCGGCTTCGACGGCCCCAACCCGTACAACATGATGAACTCGTCCAGCGTGTTCCCGACGGTGCGTGCCTGACGCTGGAAACGCTGATGCGTAGCGTCCTGCCGGTGAACACGATGGCCATCGCGATGGGCTTGCACGCTCGTTGCGGCAACGAGGACACCATCTGGGGCCGCAAGGGCGAGAAGATGACGTCAGTGCAGCCAGATCAGGCAGTTGGTGCGCATTGCAGGCGAGTGGGGCGCAGGTGGCTAACCGCGAAGGAAGCTCCGGGACATCTACCGGATCGGTGAGACGTATGCCGACACCGACGAGACGTTGGCGAAGCTGGGTTACGCGCCCAACCGCCGGATCGGCCAGCTGGGATTCACGCAGCACGCCTGAGTTCGCACCCCTCGTACAACAGTTCGGGGGTACGAACCGCGACGAGTTATGCTCCCCGAATCCCCGTCTACACCTGGTACTTCTAGGAGAGGTCATGGGACTACAAGCTCCCGCCACGCCGCGTGTGGACACCGCGCTCGGAATCGGCGGACGACGAGGTTGTACCCGTGGATCGTTTTCGCCCTGGCTTTCGGTCTTCTGCTCTCGGACTACATGTCGAGGCAGGTGCTCCAGTGCAGTCTTCCCGGATCCTGAAAGCGGACTGGGTCTCTCCGATTCGCACCTCGCCTCCCTGAGCAGCGTGGTGGCATTGATGGTCGGGCTGTTGACGTTCCCGTTGTCGCTGCTCGCGGACCGCTGGGGCCGCGTCAAGAGCTTGATCTTGATGGCGGTGTTGTGGAGTGTCGCGACGTTGCTGTGCGCAATCGCTCAGACCTACGAACAGATGTTGGGCGCCCGATTCTTGGTAGGTGTCGGTGAAGCGGCGTACGGCAGCGTGGGTATCGCCGTGGTCCCTAAGTGTGTTTGCGCCCCGCGTGCACTCAGCTCTTGCCGGTACCTTCATGGCGGCGGTGGATCGTTCGGTTCGGTCGTCGGTGTGGCAATCGGTGGGTTCATCGCAGTCCAGTTCAGTTGGCGGTGGTCTTTTGCCGCACCATGGCGATCTTCAGATCTGATTCTGGTTGCGCTGTTCCGTACACCTCGTCACCGTGACACAGCTCACCTTGCGCCGTCAGGCCGCGCCGGATGCCGCCGGGGAAGCGTTGAGACGCACGACGGTTTTCGTGCGCCGGGTGTCCTCGCTGTTCACCAATCCCCGCCGTGTTGTTCGCCTACATCGGTTGTGGTCTCAGTGTTCACCGCCGCTGTACTTCTGGCGTGGTTGCCCTGAAACTTCATCAATCGCTACTACGATTTGGCCCCGGACAAGGCCGGCGTCACAGCTTCCGTATTCGTCACTCTTGGTCGGAAGTGGGATGGTGGTGTGCGGGTTCATCACAGATCGATTCAGCCGCGACGATTCGGCGCGGAAGTAGCTTCCGCAATCGTCTACTGCGCCATCTCGTTGAGTGACGCTGGGTATCAGGCTCCCGGTTGGATACGGGGACAGCGCAGCTCGTATTGCTCGGTATCGGTGCGTTCTTCTCTGCCGGTTCGTCGGGGCCGACGGCAGCTATGGTCGCGAACCTTACCCATCACTCGATTCAGGCGTCAGCCATGGGAGCACTCACCGTTGCCCAACAACCTTCTTGGGCTGGCGCTCGGTCCCTTCGTGGTCGGCATCCTCGCCGATCACCTGGAAGGTCTTTCTCGGTGCTCTACAGCTTTCGCCCAGCTTCGTCTATGTCGTCGCGGCCCTCGCGCGTTGGTAGCCCGGCAAGCGTGCCTATCCCGCCGGGATGAGGCGGTTGGCTACGTTGCAGAATCGGCCCGGAATCCCGGCGCCACTGGAAGTAGCAGAAGTTCGGAGTTCCTGATGGATGAATCACCCACGGTAGTAATAGTTCCCGGTCTGCGCGATCATGTCGAGGATCATTAGCAGACTCACCTCGCGCCGCAGGCCCCGACAGCGTTCTGACGGTTCCTCCCCTCGAGACCGACAAGCTCAGTCGCGATGCCAGGGTTGCAGCATTGGACGAGGTGTTATTGTGTTTCCAGCCCGGTGGTCCTGGTGCGCACAGCGCGGGGTTATGACAGTTGCCCACTGGGCGAGGGGCATCATCGCGGATGTTGCCGGCGCACTTCTGGTCACGCCGGCGGATCTCGAACTTCCTCTGCCCGGGTCCTATCCGTCTCTCGAGGGGCTCGATCGGAACGGGTGGCTTCCGATACCGCGTCAGCGTCTGCGCTTTCGAGCACAGTCGCGGCGAGTCAGGAACGATCCGCTTCGCCGGGTATCGCAGAGTTGTGGAGTTTGGCTGGAGGATGGGGAGTCGGTTGCTGGATCTGGGTGAGGTCGGACATCTCAATCCGGCGTCCGGATACGGGTATTGGCCGCGGAGCGGAATCATTGGTGTATTAGGGAACTGCTCGAGTCAGGGTGTCGCACGCCGCCTCGTCTCGTTACCACGGATTCCGAGTCGCAGGAGGAATTCACAGTCATCGCTTGATCTTGCTGCTCTGCTGGAAGATTCAGCAGCGATACCCGGAACGGGATGCTTGCTGGTTCTCGGAGAGAAGCAGGCTGACGTATGCGCAGTTCGACGCCTACGCAGATCGCATCGCCCATCTGCTCGTCTCGCGGGGGTGTCGAGCCAGGTGACAAGGTGGCGTTGTCCTGCCCGAGCGTTCTCGAGTTCCCGATCGTCTACTACAGCATTCTCAAGGCCGGTGGCGTCGTCGTTCCTCTGAACATCCTGCTCAAGGGGCGCGAAATTGCCTATCACCTGTGGCTGATTCGGAAGCGAAGCTGTACTTCTGTTTTCGAGGAAGTCCCGAAGTACCGATCGCCGAGTACGCCATCGCCGGGTTCGAGCAGAGCGAGACCACCAATTTTCGAAGCCCTGATCGTGATCAGCACCAGGCCAGGTGCACCGTCGTCAACCCTCCCGGAGTCGAGTCTCTAGGCAGAAGCACTGGCATCCGTGTCCGGCACGGAAACGCCTGCAGCCGCGGTTGTTCGTGAACCGACGGACTACCGCGGTCATTCTCTACACGTAGCACGACCGGAAAGCCCAAGGGCGCCGAACTCACTTCACTGCAACATGGTCTTGAATGCACTGTCGACCAACCGGTTGTTCGAGAGCGTTCCGTCCATGCATGAGCGTTGTCGCTCCTGACTTTGCCGTTGTTCCACTCGTTCGGCCAGACAGTGACCATGAATGCGGGAATCTGCGTCCGAAGTGCCACTTTGGTGTTGATGCCGCGCTTCGGTGCGACCGCGGCAGCCGAGTCATGGAACGCGAAAGATCTCGGTCTTCGGGGGCGTCCCGACCGTGTATTGGGGACTGCTCGGCGTGCTGGAGGAGGTAAGTGAAATCCGGGGTGGATATCGAGACCGTTTCACAGAACACTTGTGCGGTGCACGATCTCCGGTGGTGCAGCGCTTCCCGTCGAGAATCTTGACACAGTTCAGGGAACGACTTCGGTGTTCAGATCCTCGAAAGGGTTACGGGTTGTCGAGACCTCTCCGTTGGCCTTGTTCAGTGACCCGGAGAGCGACCCCGGCCCGGTTCGATCGGCGTGCCGATCTGGGGCGATCGAAAGCGCGGCTTGTCGATGACTCTTGGCGTACGATCCCGGCCCCGATGAAGTGGGTGAGTTGGCCATTCGCGGGCGCAACGTCATGAAGAGGGCTATTTCAACCGACCCGGGCGACGGCGGAGTAATGTGCGACGGATGGTTTCGCACCGGGGATCTGGCACGGGTCGATACCGACGGAAATTACATCGTCGACCGCGCGAAGGACATGATCGTGCGGGGCGGATTCAGCGATCTACCACGCGAAATCGAAGAGGTTGCTACTCACCCAGCCGTCTCACTCGTCGCCGTCGTCGGGGTGCCGGACACGAGCCTCGGCGAAAGTTGTATCGCCTACGCGATCCGAGCCGAGTGAAGAGATCTCCGAATCGGATCTCCGTGGAATGGTCGCGGGAACAGATGGCCGCCTACAAATATCCGCGCCGCATCGAGTTCGTGCCGTCGCTGCCGATGAGCGGCAACCGGAAAGATTCTCAAACGTGAACTGAATCAAGCATTTTCGATTGTCTGAGGAGATCGATGACTGACGTTCGAGCAAGTGAAGCTTTTCCCGTGACCCAGGCTATGAAGGATTCAGGTGGCTGGGAATCCGTTGTGGGACGGACTTTCCGGAGCTGGATCCCGAGTGGACCGAGCTGTACATGAAGACAGCAATGCAGCCCTGGAACAGTGGGGTGCTGTCACCTCAGGTGATCCAGTTGCTGTGCATAGCCGTCGATGCGGCGAGCACGCACATGTACGCGCCCGGCGTACGACGCCATATTCGCGCCGCGCTCGACATGGGAGTGACCCGAAGAGATTCTCGAGGTGCTGAAACTGACCACCGTCGTCGGGATTCCCTCCTGCAATGTCGGCGTTCGATCCTGATGGAAATCGCAAACCGGTGACGGCGGTCAGTCCCGCTCGCGGTTCTCCCGTTCCTCACGCTGACGCTGGAGGAACGGGCTCGAGGTTCTAATCCGCCGATCGGACCGTGGCCGGAGACTCCGTGCTCGTAGGCGGACTCCGCGTGCAGGGCAACGTCGATTCCGCGGGCCTCGTCTTCACGCGGGAAATACGGAAGCCGAAGGTCTTGTCGATGAGCTTTCCGAGACCGTAGGTCACACCGAAGAGCATAGAGCGCGACCGACGACACCGACGAACTGCTTGCCAGCTGCGAATCCGCCGCCGAAGAACAAACCTTCCGGACCGCCCGTCATCACGGCCGTCGCGAGAGTCCGATCAGCAACAGCCGACGATTCCGCCGACGAGGTGCACGCCGACGACGTCGAGGAGTCGTCGTAGCCGAGCTTTGTGCTTCCATCCCCGCGCGTACGAGCAGACGTGCCGCGATCAGACCGATGACGAGCGCACCGAACATGTTCACCGTTCCGCACGACGGGGTGATCGCGACCAGACCGGCGACGACGCCCGAAGCTGCGCCGAACGTCGTGGGGTGTCCGTCACGGTTCCTGCTCGACGACAGCCAGCCGAGGCAGTCCCGTACAGCCGGCGACGAGTGTGTTGAGGAAGATCTGCGAGGCCATACGTCGGCCGCAAGGGCCGGCCCGGCGTTCAGATCGAACCAACCGGACAGAGCAGACCGACGCCGAGCAGGACGAACGGCGGGTGTGCGGACGCATCGACTCGGCCGAAACCCATCCGCTGGCCGAGGACCAGTGCCAATGCCAGGCCTGACGCCTCCGGACACGATTTCGACCACGAGGCCACCGGCGTAGTCAGGTGCGCCCATCTGGGCGAGCCATCCCTGCGGATTCCACACCCAGTGAGCGACGGGGACATAGACGAGCAAGGACCAGATGGGGACGAAGATCATCCAGGCAGGAGAACTTCGGCGCGGTCGGCGATCGCACCACTGATGGAGTGCTGCAGTAAGGATTGCGAACGTCAGTGGAAGGTTGCGAACAGCACTTCCGGGACATTCCCGTGCACGGTCGACGGGTCGATGCCCGCCATGCCGATGTGTTCGAGTCCGCCGATGATGCCACCGTGATCGTCGCCGGACACGGGCTGCAGCCCCACGAACAACCACGCGACCGTGACAGAGTCGCGATGGAGACGAAGCTCATCGTGAGTCATGTTGAGTACGCCGGTCGAGCGGACCATGCCGCCGTAGAAGAGCGCGAGTCTGGCGTCATCAAGTACAGTGCAGTACTGACGAGCAGCCAGGCAGTTGCTCCGGCATCGATGGTGGCAGGCACAGTTTTCCTCCTCACGCATGCGGACCAGCCCGCGTGCGCAGGAACCCGATGGGTGCGTGCGGTTTCCTCCACCTGCGGTGTGTTACGAACATGTTTCGGGAGAAGTCGGCGTTGCACCGCACCGGATCACCTGTCGTGGGTCGCCGGTAGTCTTTGCGCGTGGCCCTGTACCGGAAGTATCGACCCGCGTCCTTCGCGCCGAGGTGGTGGGGCAGAGCATGTCACCGCACCGCTCAGCACGGCCCTCGACACCGGACGCATCAACCATGCCTATCTGTTTTCCGGCCCGCGCGGCTGTGGAAAGACGTCGTCGGCGCGAATCCTGGCGCGTTCGCTGAACTGTGAGCAGGGACCGACGTCGACGCCGTGCGATGTATGCGACTCGTGCGTTTCGCTTGGCCCGGGCGGCACCGGGCAACCTGGACGTGACGGAACTCGACGCCGCAAGTCACAGTGGCGTCGACGACACCGAGAACTCCGAGACAAGGCGTTCCACGCCCCCGCCGCTTCTCGCTACCGCGTCTTCATCATCGACGATGGCGCACGTGGTGACGGCGGCGGGCTTCAACGCGCTGCTCAAGATCGTCGAAGAGCCGCCGGAGCACCTCATCTTCATCTTTGCGACGACGGAACCGGAAAAGGGTTCTCCCGACCATCCGTTCGCGTACACACCCACTACCCGTTCCGCCTGTTGGCGCCGTCGACCATGCGCGGACTCCTGGAAAGATCTGCGCCCAGGAAGGCGTACCGGTCGAGCCTGCTGTTTATCCCTGGTCATCAAGGCTGGCGGCGGTTCGCCTCGCGACTCGTTGAGTGTCACTCGATCAGTTGCTCGCGGGAGCCGGCGAGAAGAGTGTCACGTATCCGCAGGCGCTCTCTCTTCTCGGAGTCACCGACGTCGCGCTCATCGACGAAGCAGTAGACGCCCCTGTCTGCCAGTGACGGAGCCCGCCTTGTTTCGGCACTGTCGATCGGTTGATGGACGCCGGTCACGATCCACGCCGATTCGCGCTCGATCTCCTCCGAACGTCTACGCGATCTCATTTTGATGCAGGCAGTCTCCGATGCCAGCGAACGAGGTTGGTCGATGCGCCCGGAGGCCGAGGCTGGTCACGATGCGTGAACAGATTCAGCCGGAATCGGCCCGGCCACGCTCACCCGTTTCGCCGAAACCGTCCGCGCTGGTCTCAAGTGAAATACGTGCCAGGCGACAGCGCCGCGGCTGCTGCTCGAAGTGATGTGCGCGAGAATGCTGCTTCCCTTCGGCCTCCGACACCGGGGTCGGCTTTGTGTTGCAGCGGCTCGAGCGCCTGGAACAAAGGTGCTTCCGGCTGCCGGAGTCGCAGCTGCCGCTGCCCCTCGCGCGGCAGCAACGCCGGCACCGACAGTGCCGCCGCTCCGGACCGGAGATTGCTTCCAAGTTCCAACGGCCCTCCCAACGCAAGGCCGGGCCTGAGGCACGGCCGGAACCAGCCGCCCCAGCTCCGGCACGGCGCCGCCGGTCGTCGAGGCTCCGGTCGTCAGAGAATCTCCTGTCGTCGAACCTCCGGTAGCGGCAGCTCCATGGTCAGGCCTCCCCACCGATCGAGATCGATGGAACCGCCGGTTGCCGGAAGCTCCAGTGGTTGAAGCTCCGGTGGTTTGAAGCACCAGTAGTTGGCTCCGGTTGCCGAAGCTCCAATAGTTGAAGCTCCTGTGTGGTTGAACCACCGGCTCCTGCTCCGGTCGAAGCGGAAGAGCTGATCGGGCTTGCCGAGCCGGAACCGACTACGAGCCAGGCCCGAGTACGAGGCCAGCGGCTGCGGGAAAGCTGCGCCGGTGCTCCGGCAGGCCCCACGGTCGAAGACCCTCCGTGAATCGTGGAACACCTTGCGCAACAAGGTCGGTGAACGAACAAGGTTCTTCCGGCCTGCTGTCCGCTGCGACGGTTCACGACGTGCGTGGACATGTTGTAGTCATCGCTCACGGCTCGCCGAGTACACCGGTTACTCGTGCTGACCGCAACCACACAACGCGGCGGTCATCTGCGAGGTCCTTGCCGAGATGTTCGGTGGCACTTGGCAAGTCAGCACCAAGAAGGTCACCGCCCACAGCGCCTGGCGGCATCGAGCGCACACCCAAGGCGACCAAGCTGCGAGCCGCCCGGCCGCTGCGCCCTTCTCGCGCCCCAGTCAGGAGCGTGCAGCGCAGCGGCCCAAGGCCCACAGCCCCAGCGCGGAGATTCCGGACGACATTCCGCCGCCTGAGGCCCCGACTATCCGGAAGACCCTGGACCGGCCCCTGCTCCTGAGGTCGACTACGGAGCATACTCCTCCGCCTGCAACGCCGGAGGACGGGACAGATATTCGCGGAGGCAGCTGAGCCCGCTGATCCGACTACCAGACGTGTGATCCAGTACGTTGCAGGACTCCTCGGGACGTCCTCGGGGCACGCCGCCTCGAGCTGAGTTACCGACTCGGTCCGTGCGCGTGGAAACGGCTGTCGGAATGCCGCAGCTTTCCACTGTGTGATCGAATTGTTATAAGTGCCGTTCCCTTTTTGTGTGCGCACGTGTCAGAAAGGAGCACCAGCTTCGGCCCAGCAAAGCTGAATTGTGTGTGGCCGGTTTGCTGGCATTCTGTTCGCTCGAATTCCGGTGTAACCGAGAACATCGATTCGGACGATGGTCGCCGGGGAGCTATCTGGAATTTCTCGTTGTCTGAGTCGATATTCGCGTACCGTTGCTGAATTCTCGGTGTCACCACGAATGTTCAGATTGATAGTTGTCGGATGTTTGTTTTGCGGTGATCGACCAATTTACGGACTATTCGGCGATTGGCCTCATATTCGGCATTGCGGCATTTCGGTGCGCACTCAACTGAGCATTTGCCGATCTACGAGAAAACAGTGGCCTTGAAACCGGTGTCCGAGTACCGGATGTTCAAACCGCTGCTTGACCGGCGACAGGAAGCAAATACGAGTAACTCCAGTTTACAGCTAACTATCGTTGCTGTCAGGTTGCTTTGACACATGTTCACGGAGGCTGAACGACCTTTGCTTATTTGTTTATGCCTTGGTTGGATCTGCGTTTTACACACGGCTGAACGGCGTGGTTAGTCTTCCGGTCGATTGAGTCTCCCGCGGATGCGCTGCTGAAAATAGGAAGTGTAAGATGACTGAAGATTCAGCTAATCCCGCGATCGCGATAGTCGGGATGAGCATGTGTAGTCTCCCGGTGCCCATGATCTGCGAGGATTTTGGGAGAACGTCCTCGCGCGACGGATGCAATTCCGAAAGTTTCCCGAGTCGCCGGATGTCGCTCGACGAGTACTGGGCAGCGCGAGCCCTGAGCGACGATCGACAAGACATACGCCGACCGCGGCGCGTTCATGAACGGTTTCGAATTCGACTGGGTCGGTCGCCGGATACCGGAGCGAACCTTCAGAGTCGACAGATCTCACACACTGGTTGGCGCTGGAAACAGCACTCGGGGCTTTGACGGACGCAAGCTACAGCCGAGGATCGGTGCCAACTGGACGCAGCGCCGCAATCGTCGGCAACTCCCTCACCGGTGAAGAATCCCGGATGTAGTCGATGCGTTTGCGTTGGCCTTACGTCAAGCGCGCACTCGCTGTGGCAGCCGTAGCGCGCCAGTTGGGACAGTTCCGTCGCCGATGCTCTCGCCGAGACGATGGAGAGGTCTACAAAAGGCCCGTTGGTGGAGCCGAGTGAAGACACTCTGGCCGGCATGTTGTCGAATACGATCGCCGGCCCGTATTATCTGCAATTACCTCGACTTCAACGGCGGCGGCGGGTACGTCGTGGACAGTGCGTGCGCGTCCGGAATGCTCGCGGTGGCGACTCGGCCGAAAAGCTGGCGTCCAGCGCGGCCGACTTCGTATTGGCGGGTGGAGTCGACGTCAGCCTGGATCGCTTTGGAACTGGTGGAATTCGCCCGTTCGGTTGCACTGACACGCGGCGAGCATGAACGTGTACGACGCAAGCCGAAGCGTGATTCATCCCGGGTGAAGGTTGCGGATTCGTGGCCTTGGAAACGACTTCGAGGACGCGCCAGGGCGGACGGCGACTACGTACCGCGCGACGATTCGCGGCTGGGGCATCTCTACCGATGGCAAGGGTGGAGTTGCAAGCCCGCTTGCCGAAACTCAGGCCGAAATGATCCGTCGCGCATACTCGGGAGCAGGATTCGCGGCCAGCAAGGTTGCCTTTGTCGAAGGACACGGAACTGGTAGGCCTCCCGTCGGGGACCCTGTCGAATCTGGCCGGCGTCGCAGCAGCCCGCGCAGACGGACGGACCAGTCGAGGCTCGTAGCATCAGCATGACCTCACTGAAGTCGCTGATCGGGCACACGAAGGCGGCGTCGGGCATCCTTGCGCTGATCAAAGGCGACGCATGGCCGTCAATCAGCGAATCCTTCCGCCGCTCGCCGGTTGCACCGATCCCGAACCCGGCGTTCGGAACCGAAGCACCGGCACTCTTTCCGCTTGTCAACGGCGAGATCAGATCCGTCGGAGAAGATGCGTGCCGGTGCGCAAGCCATGGGTTTCGGCGGTATCAACTGCCACGTCGCGATCGAATCGGCTGATGCACCGTCCAGCAAGCTGACACCCTCGCAAGACGTCCGCACGATGATGCGCGTCGTATCAGGACACCGAGGTATTTGTACTCTCTGCAGATTCCGCGGTGGACTTGGCGACCCGAGCGCGGGATGTTGCAGATCTGGCGGTTCCGTTGAGTGTTGCGGGAGCTGCTGGACTTTTCGGCGAAACTCTCGCGAGTGATCTCGCCGACCGCGCCCTTCCGTGCCGCAGTGGTGGCCGGACGTCCCCGCGCAGTTGGCCGAACGCATGCGTCCAGCTTGCCGTGATCTGCGAGAACTCCGCTCCAGCTTCCGGCCAGGTCAAGGTGGTGAGCAACGAGATCTCGATTTCGAACAGCGTCCGCCACGACATCGGATTCCTGTTCCCTGGACAGGGATCCCAACAACCTCGAGATGGCTCGCGTGCTGGATCGAGCGCTTCGTGAGGCGCGCGAACTGGCGACCAAGGCGGACGGCTGGTTGAGGGAGTTGAGTGGAGGCGATCACGCCGCGGATTCTGGCGGAACCCGGTCGGGAGACGCAGACGCTGCGGAATTGGCGAAGTGGAAGCGGGACCTCGCCCAAACATTCAGTTCACCCAGCCCGCCGTCGCCTTGGCGTCGCTGCTCTGGTTCAGTACCTCCGCCGATTGGGTGTCACACCCAGTGCTGTCGCCGGCCACAGTCCTCGGGAGCCAGTTGACTGCGCTCTACGCGGCCGGAGCTTACGACCAGAAGACGCTGATCACCTTGGCTGCGGCGAAGGGTGCGGCCATGGCTGTCAGTGGTGGTGGAAACGGCGCAATGGCGAGCCTGACCTGCGACCGATCGACGGCTGAGGCGATCATCGCGGAGGCAGCAAGGGTTACGCGACCGTCGCGAATCTGAATACGCCCACGCAGAGTGTGGTTTCGGGTACCAAAGACGCGGTCGACGATGTGGCGGTTGCCAATCGCGAGAGACCCGCGGAGTATCGGCTCAGGCGCTTGCCGTGTCGAATGCTTTCCACTCCGAGATGATGAACGAGGCCGAACGGGAGCTGAGTCCACTGGCGCCCGTTGACGAGCAAGTCGGATTCGTTGACGTCCCCCGTGGTTCCCTGCGTCGAAGGGGAACGCGTACAGACGCCACTGGCACTTCGCGAACTGGTCACCAAACAGGTTGTCTCACCGGTTGACTGGGTCAAGACGGTAAGTGGGATCTCGCAGGAAGTGGACCTGCTCGTCGAGGTCGGACCCGGCCGGTGCTGACCGGGCTCACCAAGGCGATCAATGGGACCGACGGCGTGCGCTGCTTCCCCGTTGCGTCCAAGTCCGGACGCGACGAGGACTTCAACGTCGCACTGGCCGCGATGTACGTACACGGCGCTCAGGTCCGCTGGAACGAACTTCGACGGCCGGTTCGTGCGCGAATTCGTTCCTGCCGATCAGGAAGGTGTTCATCGAGAACCTGGCCGAGGCGAAGCTGACGGTTACTCCTGCTCCCGGAACCGCTCGCACTGGTACGTCCGGCGGGGATCCGGCTGCGGCGCTGGCCGATTACCTGAGCCGACGCGGGACCTTCCTCGTCGACGTCATTCGCGCGGGATGTAGGCAGTGGAGCGACTCCTCCGTCTTCTCCATCTGCTCCATCTGCTCCGACTTCGCGGGCAGTCACCAACGGCCACGAATCTGTAGCAGCGAAAGCTCCTTCGCCGGTTTCGGCTCCGGTAGTCGAAGAAGGTCCGGCTGTTGCGGGCGCCGGGTCCGTGGAAAGTGAGGCTGATCAGGATCCTCGCCGATACGACGGGATTCCCGCCGAGTCGATCACGACGGATCTGCGTCTGCTCGATGATCTGAATCTCGACTCGATCAGTACGGCAGAGAGCTATTTCGAAGGTTGCACATCAGTTCGAGGTTGTCGACCTCGACCCTGCCGGAGTTGGCCAACGCCACTATCGGAGAAGCAGCATCGCTGATCCTGCGGCATCACCGCATCCCGGTTCTGACGTTCCAGCAGCGAGTTCGGCGCAGTCGGACGTGTCGCGGAATACTGCCCGAGGTAATCGCGGAGGACACCGGATTTCCGGTGGAGTCTCTCGACGTCGACCTCCACCTTCTGGACGACCTGAACATGGACTCGATCAAGGCCGCCGATGCAATCGCCACGGTGGCAACACGGTTGGGTGTTCAGGGTGACCTGGATCCGGCCGAACTCGTCAACGTCAGCCTGGGTGAACTGATCGGAAGTGCTCGATCGGTCCGCGAAGGAGAAGTCGGGGCAGGCAGCAGCCGGCTGCCGGGCGCTGCCGGCGAAGGCAAGGGTATATCAGCCGACAGCTTCACCTGGGTTCGTGATTACACCCTGGAAAAGGTTCGGAGCGAGACAGCGTTGCACGGAGTCCGAGACCTCACGGACACGACGTTTGTCGTCATCGGTGACGACGCCGGTTTGGTCGGAAAGTTGGAATCCGAACTTCGAGGTCGTGGCGCTCAGGTCGACATTCGCACATTCTCCGACAGCACTACTGCGAATGCACACCACGTGGTTGCCGTCATGCCGCGCGTGACCGATGATTCCGTCACCGAAATCGGCTTGCGCCGTGGGATCGAACACATGTACAAAATAGTTCCGGCGCAGCAAAGTGGAGGCGCGCGAACCACATTGGCAGTGGTTCAGTTCACCGATGTCGAGTTGAGCAATCCAGCGCCGGTGCCGAGTGTGGCGGCTTTCGCCGCTTCGGTGCATCACGAGCGCCCCGAACTGGATGCGCGTCATAGGATTCGACGGCTCGACTGCGGACGCGGAGGTGGCAGCCACTGTCGTCTCCGAGTTGGATTCGGTTGCACCCTATGTGTTCGCGACTTACGACGCCGAGATGGGACGCACGGCACTGCAACCGCGGGTTCTCGCCTCCAACGACTACACCGTCCGCGAAAGCGGATTGGGAAGTTCGGATGTCGTGGTCTGACCGGTGGCGCGAAAGGCATCATGGCCCAGTCGTGCTCTGGCCCTCGGTCGAAAGACCGGCGCCGAACTGGTGCTGATCGGAAGCTCTCAGCGACAAGCGGGCGACGAAATCGCCTCCACTCTTGCGGACTTCACGTCTGCCGGTTTGAGCGCTCACTACTATCGCTGCAACGTCACGGATGCCGCGGCGGTGGCCGGCGTCGTCGCCCAGATCGTGAGGTCGAGGTGGGGCCGATCACCGGGTTTGTACACGGTGCGGGGGCAAATGTTCCGCGGCGGTTCGAGAGAGTCGACAGCGCTGCGGCTTTCAAGGAGGTTGCACCCATGGGTCCTGGGCGCAGCCAACTTCGTCGAAGCGCTCGCTGATCGTGACTTGAAGCTGTTCGTGGGCTTCTCTCCATCATCGGATTCACAGGTATGCCCGGAAACAGCTGGTATGCATACGGAAACGAGCTTCTCGACGAAATGGTGGTGCGGTATGCCGCCGGGCACCCGAAGACTCGACGTTCTCGCTCGCGTACAGCGCGTGGGGAGAGACCGATGGGCGCCCGCATGGGCAGCGTCAACCACCTGCGCGAAGATGGGTGTCATGCCGATTTCGACGGCTGCGGAGTGGATCATTTCTCGCCTGGTCGACAGCGGACCCGAGGCGAGTCGTATCGTCGTGACCAGTCGACTCGGCGGTCTCGACACCTGGGCGCCGGCAGCACCGGCTCTGCCGGCGGTGTCGCGCCACATCGACCAAGTGGTGACATTCGAGCCGCAGGTAGAACTGGTGACCCGGACGACGTTGTCCACCTCGGCGGATCCCTTTGTCCTCGATCATGTCTGGAAGGATCGGCGCTACTTCCGACGGTGTTCGGGCTCGAGGCGATGTCGCAGGCGGCGGCGTATGTCACCGGACGCGTGACCCTGGGTCGCGTCCGCATCGACGACATCAAACTGATCGACTGATCGTCGTCGACACCGTCGAGGGCACCATGAGTCGAGATCAAGGCAAGCGTCGTGGAGCAGGATCGTGATGCCGCAGGAACGCGGGTGCATGTCACGATCGGCACCGAACGGACCGGGTAAGGGCGGCCCCATTTCTCGGCCGACTTCATCTTCGGGCTGGACGAATCACTGCCGGAGTTCGAGAAGGAGCTGCTGCGACCTGTGCTCGACATCGATCCGCGTTGGACGACCCCTACCGTGGTTGCTGTTCCAGGAGGGCGATTTCGCCGACTCGAAGAGATCTCGAGCCTCGATTCCGAGCAACATTCTCTTCAGCGCTATTTCGCGAGCCGACCGTAAGCAGCACCTCCTCGGTGATCCGTATTTCCTCGATTCCCTGCTCCAATCGGGCCAGATCATGGTTCCGCGGAGATCTGCCTTCCGGTCAACATTGCGCGAATCGACATGTACGACGGACGATTCGAGGCTCGTCCGTTCACCGCGTACGCCTACGACAAGGTGCAGACAGAGACCCACATGCAAGCCGACGTGGCGGTGGTGAAGGACGGACGAGTGGTGATGCAGCTCGAGGGATATCGCCCCCAGATTCTCTCCCACGACGAAAGCCGTCCTACGGCTGAGGAAATCGCGGATCCGACTGCGCGCGACGCACAGATCATTCTCGACAAGCCTCGCGCAACACAGCCGGGCGTTGGGAGGAAGAGCCCGCGGGTTGTGGTCGCGCACACCCCGGGGATCCACGAGTTGACCAAGTCGGAACGCCACGAGCAGGAGAAACCGATCGCCGAGGCGGCCGTGAACATTCATCTCGATGAGGATGTGGTGATCAAATGAGTAATGCCTTTGCCATCGAATGGCAGGAAACCGGAAAGCCCGTCGTTGTCGGTGATATTCCACCCTCTGTGGATGTCTCGCTCTCGCACGACGGCAGCAAGTCACTCCAGTTCGGCCGGCGACTGGCCTCAGGGTGTGACATCGAACCGATTCGCTCCCGAACCGTCGTGCAGTGGAAGGCGCTTCTGGGTTCGGCGCGGATTCCGCTGCTCGACGAGTTGATCGCAGGCGGCGAATCACTCGGATCGTGCGGGCACCAGGCTGTGGGCGGCGGCCGAGGCGATCCGAAAGGCCACGGGGCAGATAGACGGTTTCTCTGGCGATGGGCGCCAGGAGGACGACGCAGTGACCTTCCGCGGCGGCGTCGAGGGAAGCGTAGTGGTTCTGACTTTTCCGGCTCTGTTGACGGACAACGAGGAGCGGATTCTCGCTTTTGTGACCGATGAGGCGGATGCCGAAGAGCGTGTTTCGGACGAGGCGGATGCGGAAGAACCGGCGTAGGGCCCGGCACTCACAGTTCGACTCCGGCCCGTTGTCGGCGAAGTCTCTCGCGCAGTTCGATCCGGATGGCCTACGGCCTGACGTGCATGTGGTGGCCCGGAGCGGCTATCCGGCGGTGCCGATCCGGTTCCCCGTCGGGTTCCGGGACGCGTGCAACGTCGGTGGATCAGTGGGGTTCGCGAGCTTCGCGCTGTGGCTGAGCGCTTTGCGAGGAGGGGAACCCGGACCGATCTCGAAGCAGATCGTGGAGGACATGGCGACGGGCCGTTGGGGCATGGTGACCAACAACTCCGAGGTGTTCATCGATGCGAACCTGTACACCGACGACATTGTCGAGGGGACGATCTGGATCACCGAGCTCACCGGTCCGGATCGGGCAACCACCAATCTGCATGTCGAATGGTGCCGGGTCGACGGCGAGACGCGCACTCACATCGGGTGGAGTGCGATGCAGACGACGGGTGGAAATCCTTCCCCACGGTGGTGGTGGCGCGGCACGGCCGATGCCGCAGTACTTCCACGATTTCATCGAGCCGATGACGATTCCGACGGGGGCGAAGAACGTCGCTGTCCCCACACAACCGAAGGACGTCGATCGTGGTTCCTTGATCCGCTCGGCTCCGATGGTGCCGCGCAATCCGTACCTGCTCGGAATCCGAGGTGTTCTCGACGACGATGCAGGACGGAAACGTCAGGGCAACATCTACTTCGGGTAACTATTACATCTGGCAGTCGAGGGTTCGGGACAAGTTCCTCGCCCGTTCTCAGCGTGAGGCCATGGCGGCCAGAGGCGCTCCGGGGAACTGCGTTGTGTGCACACCAGAGTTGAGCATCTGCGCGAGGTCATGCTGTTTGACGACGTCCTGGTCACGATGTCCTTGACTGCCCTCTACGAGAGGGGGATCGACCTCGAGCCCGAGTACTTCCAAGGTCAATCAGGACGGATCACGGAGAAGCTCAGTGATCGCTCGGCACAGAACCGTCTGACGATGCCGGGCGCTCCGGGAGAACTGGAAATCTCTCCGCCGTCGAAACTTCCGCAGTCACTGATCGATTCGGTGCTGGAGGCGATCGACGGAAAGTAGACGGGGATTTTCCGAGATCGAAGTGGAGAGACGGGTTGCGTTTTCCTGCCGGAGAACGCAACCCGTTTCGATGGGGAGGGGTATGTATGGGTATCGGGTTTCGAGAAGGTCGGTTCTCGGGCCGGCAGTCGGCACGGTGGCGGCTGCATTGGGTACAAAGGCAAGCGCTGTTCCAACCGGGAGCGCGGAGATCGAGTCGCCGTTGATTTTTCATTCGCCGGAGTTCGAGCCGTTTTGTGACCAACTACCCTCGTTGTCGACGCCTTCCGAAACGAGATCACGCTGGACAGCGCAAGTAAAGCAACGCACCTTCATCGGACTTTCCATCGTCCCCGGCACTGTCGTACCGCAGCGGAGAGATCGGTGGCGGTTATCTGGGCCCGACCGTCGAGGCGCATTCCGGCGAGCCGATCAGTGTTGACGTTCGAGAACGATCTGACCGGACATCCGTTGCAGCGACATGGATATGACGCTGCACGGAATGCAGGACGACTTTCGTGCGAACTCCGCCGACGTCGTTGCACTTGCACGGTGGAGTCACTTCACCTGAGAGCGACGGCCACCTGGAACTGCTGGTGATGCCGGACAGGCTGCGATGCATCACTTTTCGCACGGTCAGGAAGCCGCCCACCCTCTGGTATCACGATCACGCGATGGGCATCACCCGGCTCAACGTCTACGCCGGTCTGATCGGCAACTATCTGATCAGGATGAATTCGACACCGGCAAACTGGGAAATCCGTTGGGGCTGCCGGCCGAGGAATCTCGAGATCCCGTTGATCCTGCAGGAGAAGATCTTCACGCCGACAGGCGCCCAGAACGGCCGGATCCACCATCTTGATCCCGGAAGGATCGTGGAAGGCGGCGCGGTGGGCGACGTTGGCTTGGTCAACGGGCAAGTGCGGCCGGAACTGTTCAGGCTCGGGCCTCAACGCTTCCTGCATCGTCAATGCGTCGTCGGCAAGTGTGTGGAATCTTCGCTTCTCGAACATGATGACGTTCTGGGTCATCGGCAACGACGCCGAAATGCCTGACGCACCCGTCGCGGTCAATGCTCTTCCGCTGCGCACCGGGGAGCGGTACGACCTCCTCGTCGATTTCACCGGACTGTCGGAGGGTTCTGGAGGCGGAGCTTCGCACCGCGACGAGGCGCCTCGCTACCCGCCGCCGTCATCGGTGAAGTGACGATGCCAGTTGTTCTGCCGGTTCCGCGGCGACTCCAGGCGCGGATTCACCGGTGGTGTTCCGTCGCACCGCGGTGGGCGACAACGTGACGTTCTCGCCCCGTTGAGCAGCCGACGGTAATTCGCACGGTGACAGTGAGCCAGCAACTGAACTGCGGAATCCACCGCCCAGATGACGCTGAACAACCTGACGTCTGCCAGCACCACGGACGTCGAGAGGCCGCGGCAAGGCACCGTCGAGCAAAGTGAACATCGTCAACACCACGCCGGACCCGCATCCGATGTACACCTGCACCCGGTGAATTTCCGGATTCTCGGCAGGGACACCGATGCGGACGCTGGAGTACTTGATCCGCCATCCGCAGCCGGTGATCGGCAACAAGGGACTCTCCGTCGCCCGACGGGTTCGAGGCGGGGTTACGATCGCGCCGGGCGCCGTGGGAAGCGGGGATGAAGGACACCGTCAGGTGACGGCATCCGTCACCCGGATCATCGCGCGATTCCCCAATGAGGATGAGCTGGTTTCGATCCCGACGCGATGTTCGATCGCCTTCCGAGCGCTGTGATGATGGGCGGTGGGATGACGGGCGGTGATCAGGCGCACTGCAAACCCGGGCACCACGGTATGAGTAACCACGGCATGAGCGATCACGACTATAACACCGGTCGGCTCCAGGATACGTGTGGCATTGCCATTCACCGATCACGAAGATCGCGACATGATGTTGCCGCACGCATCGTGCCGTGAGTGCTTCCGGGGCGCTCTCGAAATGAACCGGAAGCGGCAGGCGTTCGCGCGTCGGATCACCTCGGTCACCTAGCAGGATCGCTTCGGTCCTTCCTATGAATTTGGAACACGTTCTACAGTGAAAGGCTGAGGTCTTACCTTCGGCCATGCGTCACCAGTCCATGTCGCTGCGCTGACGATCTGCAGACCGGTTCGACGAATACACGGAAGGAACACCTCACAGTGACCACAGAGGCATTCATTTATGAAGCTGATCCAAATTCCCGCGAGGCCGCGGCAAGAAGACCGGTCGTTGCACTCGGTCAAGCCGATCTCGCGGGTCACGGGTCTTCGATTCAGGAACTGCGCGTGCGCTTTCGACCTCGACGAGGGATCGGATCTCCGACTCATCCCGCGTCGTCACCCCCGCGGCGATCAGGAATGGACATCGCCCGCGTTGCAGTCAACGATGCGGGACTGCCGGACACCGTCGGCGGCGTTCAGCTCTAAACCCGCCTTGCGCTTCCGGCCCGAAGCCGTCAACATGGCAGCTCAGAAGGTTCGGTCCGGCTGGGACGAACTGGTGATCGCCGGTGGCGTCGAGCCGATGTCCCGCGTTCCGATGGATCCGACGGTGGACCGTGGGCGCTCGACCCCCGCCACCAACTACGACAACTACTTCGTGCCGCAGGGCGTCGGCGCAGACCTCATCGCCACCATCGAGGGCTTCGCGTGACGACGTCGATGATACGCCGTGCGCTCGCAGGACCTTCGCCGCCAAGGCGTGACCGGCGATGTCGCCAAGTCGGTAGTGCCGGTCGGCTGACATCAACGGCATCACCATCCTCGACAACGACGAGCACATGTGTCCGGCACCACGGCCGAGAACCTTGCCGGCCTGGCTTCCGCGTTCGGTGTGATCGGTGAAATCGGCGGATCTGACGCCGTATCGCTGCAGAAGTACCACTGGGTCGAGAAGATCAACCACGGTTCACCACGGCGGCAACAGCTCGGGAATCGTCGACGGCGCTGCCTCGTGCTCGTCGGTAGCGAGCAGGCCGGCAAGGACATGGGTCTGACGCCGCGCGCCGGGCGCCGTCGCCACTCGCTACCAGCGGCGCCGACTCCACCATCGGCAGCCACCGGCCCGAGTCGGCGTCGAAGAAGGTTCTGGCAGCTGCCGGCCTGACGGTCGACGACATCGACTCTTCGAGATCAACGAGGCATTTCGCTTCCGTCGTCCTGAGTTCCAGAAGGACCTGAACATCCCGACGAGAAGCTCAACGTCAACGGTGGCGCGATCGCCATGGGTCACCTGCTCGGTGCAACTGGCGCGATGATCACCGGAACGATGGTCGACGAGTCAGCGTCGGCG